TGTTATCCTAAGACTAGGGATCAGTGTTGCCAGGAAGTTGAAAGAAAGGGGGGTCCGGGGGTTCTCCCCCGGAACATGTTACTCTAGGGCCTAGGCTGAGTGCAGACGGCTAATGGACGCATAGGAACAAACGGGATCACGCTCCCCGGCGCAGACTCGCAGACGGCGTTGATTCGACAGACGTACGCACGCGCCGGGCTGGACATCGAGTCGCAGCGGTGTCAGTACTTCGAGGCGCACGGGACGGGCACCCCGGCTGGCGACCCCATCGAGGCGCGCGCGATCTACAACGCCTTCTTCGCCTCGTCCAGCGAGCAGGCAGAGACGCCGCTGTACGTCGGGTCGGTGAAGACGGCCGTGGGCCATCTCGAGGGCACGGCCGGCCTGGCGGGGCTGGTCAAGGCGGTCGAAGCCGTGCGGCGCGGGGTGATTCCCCCGAATATGCTATTCGAGTCGCTGAACCCGGAGATTGAGCCGTTCTACCACCGCCTCGCGGTGCCGACGGACGCGATTCCATGGCCGGAGGTGCGGGAGGGAGAGCCGCGACGGGCGAGTGTCAATTCTTTCGGTGAGTTGTTTTAGGGCTAGGAGAGAAAACTTGCTAACGCCACTAGGATTCGGCGGAACCAACGCCCATGCTATCCTCGAGTCGTACGACAACCCTCATCGCCGCCCGATGTCGGCTACTGCTTCCCTCTACACACCCCTCGTCCTCTCCGCCAATTCCGAGACCTCGCTGCGCGGCCAAGTCGACGCCTTGCACGCGTTCCTCTCCACGACCGACACTCCCATCCAAGACATCCTCCACACCCTGCAGACGCGCCGCTCGCAACACCCCGTGCGCGCGACCTTCTCCGCCCCCGACCGTGACACCCTCTGCACCGCGCTCTCCAAATGCATCGGCAGCGAATCCACCCTCGGCACCCGTATCGACAAGAAACCCGCAACACCGCGCATCCTAGCCGTGTTCACCGGCCAAGGGGCGCAATGGCCGACCATGGGCCGAGAGATCCTGCGTGCCTCGCCAGTGGCCCAACAAACCCTCTCGACGCTACAATCCGCGCTGGACACCCTCCCCGACGCGCCCAACTGGTCCCTCGCCGCCGAAATCCTCGCGGACACAGAAACCTCGCGTCTCGGCGCCGCCAGCGTCGCGCAGCCGCTCTGCACCGCCGTGCAGATCCTCCTCGTCGACCTCCTCCGTCTCGCTGGGATCACCCCCAGCGTGGTCGTCGGCCACTCCAGCGGCGAGATCGCCGCCGCCTACGCCGCGGGCATGATCTCCGCGGCTGACGCGATCCGCATCGCGTACTACCGCGGCGTGCACGCGGGTCTGGCGCGGGGGCAGAACGGCCAGCGCGGCGGGATGATGGCGGTGGGGATGTCGTACGACGAGGCGGTGGAGTTCTGTGAGGAGAGCTTCGCGGAGCGGGTCGAGGTGGCGGCCAGTAATGCGCCCGGCAGCGTGACGTTATCGGGCGATGAGGATGCGATCGCCGAGGCGAAGGCTCTCCTCGATGCGCGCGGGGTGTTTGCGCGAACCCTGCGGGTGGATACCGCGTACCACTCGGCCCATATGATCCCCTGCTCCGAGCCCTACCTCGACTCCCTGGCGGAGTGTGAGATCGCCCCGCGCGAGGCGAGGGAGGGCTGTGTCTGGGTGAGCAGTGTGCACGGCTCGCGCATGGAGGGATATCGCGTGGCCGCGCTGGCCGGGGAGTACTGGAACGACAACATGGTCAGTCCGGTGATGTTCGCCACCGCCGTGGAGATGGCCTTGACGGAAGAGGCGGCGTGCGACGTGGCCATCGAGATCGGCGCGCATCCCGCCCTCAAGGGCCCTTTCTCGCAGACCGCCAAGCAGGTGGCACCCAGCGGTGGTGCGGCGCCGCTCCCCTACAGCGGGACGCTGAGCCGCGGACAGCACGATGTCGCGGCCCTCAGCGAGACGCTGGGGTTCTTATGGAGCCATCTCGGGTCCAAGGCGGTCCGCTTCCCGGCGTACAGCGCGGCGTTCACCGACACGCGCCCGCAGTGGGTGCCCGACTTGCCGCGGTATCGCTGGGACCATCGCCAGTCCTTCTGGCGCGAGTCCACGAGATCCGCCCACTTCCGCTCGCGACCCCCGCGGCACCCGTTGCTGGGGGTGCGGTCGAATGAGGACCTCGACCAGGAGATGCGCTGGGCGATCACCCTCCGCACGCGGGACCTGCCCTGGCTGGAGGGGCATAAGGTCGAGGGGCAGGTCATCTTCCCCGCGGCCGCGTATCTGGTCATGGCGATGGAGGCGGCCCACCAGCTCGTGGGCGAGGGCCCGCCGGTGCAGCTGCTGGAGCTCCGCGACGTGGAGATCGCGAACGCCATCCCGCTGCCCGACGACGGCAAGGGCGTCGAGGTGCAGTTCACGCTCGTGCCATCCCCGACCAACCCCAAATCGGCAACCAAGACCGCGCAGTGGGCGTGCTACGCCCGCACCGCGGGGCATGGCAAGGCGGCGTGGCGCAGCAACGCGCGCGGCACGGTGCGGGTTGTTCTGGGGTCTGCCGCGTCCGACGTCCTCCCCCCGCGCCACCCGCCGACGGGGGTGTTCCACGAGGTGAAGACGGAGCGGTTCTACGAAGCCCTCACGGCGATCGGGCTGCACTACACGGGTCCCTTCCGGGGGCTGGACCACGTGCACCGCCGGTCCGGGACGGCCACGGCCACCGCGGTGCAGATCCCCGCGGTGGAGCTGGCCGTGCCCATCCACCCGGCTGGATTGGATGCGGCCTTCCAGACGCTCTTCGCGGCCTACTGCTGGCCCGAGGACGGGAGTCTGCGCGCGCCGTTCGTGCCGACGGGCCTGCAGAGTCTGCGCGTGGTGAACCGGGACATCGTGCAGGCGAGTGCCCAGCTCACCGTGGACGCGTGCATCACCCACTCCTCCGGCACGACCATCGTCGCCGACCTGGACCTCTACAGCCCCACCAACGCGGGCATCCTCCAGCTCCAAGGCCTGCGGTGCTCCAGCCTGACACCCCCCGGCCCCCGGGATTACAAAGAACTCTACTCGCAGACCGCGTGGGAGGTCGACCTCTCCAGCGGACTCGCCCCCCTCCACACCCCCCATGCCAGCCTCGCCAGCTCCGACTCCCCCGCCGACCTGGCACTAGTCGACCTCTGCGAACGCCTAGCATACTACTACCTCCGGCACCTCAACACCGTCACTCCGCGCAGCGAGGTCCCAACCATGGAATGGAATTTCCAGCGCATCTTCGCCTGGATCGACCACCTCTTCCCGCGCATCACATCCGGTCACCACCCCACCATCCGCCCCGAATGGTCCACCGACACCAAAGCCCACCTTCTCGATATGGCGTCCGCATACCCCGACGCCGTCGACCTCCAACTCATCCGCGCCGTGGGCGAGCACCTCCCCGCCGTCGTGCGGGGGGAAGCCTGGATGCTGGAGCACATGGTGGCGAACGACACGCTGGACCGGTTCTACAAGACCGGGCTGGGGTTCGCGCGCGCGAACGGGTACATGGCGCGGGCGGCGGCGCAGATCGCGCACCGGTACCCGCGGGCCCGGATCCTGGAGATCGGGGCGGGGACGGGGGGCGCCACGAAGGGCATTTTGGAGGCGCTGGACGGGCGGTTTGCGCGGTACACGTTCACGGATATCTCGACGGGGTTCTTCGAGGCCGCCGCCACACAGTTTGAGCGGTGGGCGGGGATGATGAGCTTCAAGGCGTTGGATGTGGAGAAGGAGCTTGGGGCGCAGGGGTTCGAGGAGGGTGGCTTTGATGTGATTGTTGCGTCGAATGTGTTGCACGCGACCAAGTCGCTGCGCAAAACGATGCAGAATGTGAGACGGTTGTTGAAGCCGGGGGGCTTTTTGTTGTTGTTGGAGGTTACGAGTGAGATTGTGCGGGTGAAGTTGATGATGGCGGGCTTGCCGGGGTGGTGGTTGGGTGGCGAGGATGGGCGGCCGTATGGGCCCACGATCACGGTCAGTCAGTGGGATGCGCTCCTGAAAGAGACGGGGTTTGCCGGGGTCGATCATGTGGTGAATGACTTTGTGGATGAATCCAAGTATATGACCTCGGTGATGGTGACGCAGGCGGTCGATGAGGATGTGCGGGTGCTGCGTGAGCCGTTGACGGCGGGCTGGACGCTGCCGCCTGTTACGGTGGTTGGGGGACAGAACGCCGGTCTGGCGCGGCGGGTGGTCGAGGCCCTCGGGCCTGCGGGGAGTGTCCAGTTGGTGGAGAGCTTGGAGGGGCTGTTCGTCCAGCCTGCTGTCTCGGTTACCTCGTTGGTGATTCTGGAGGACTTCGACCGCCCCGTGCTGGAGGACTTCACCCCGCGCAAGGTGGAGGCGCTGCAGCGCGCCCTCCCCGAGTGCAGGCAGCTGCTCTGGGTGTCAGGCCAGTGCCGCGCGATGAACCCCTACGGCAACATGGCCATCGGGCTGTGTCGCGCGGTCGCTGCGGAGCAGCCGCATATCCAGTTCCAGCACCTCGACATCGAAGATGCGGTGGATACTGCTGCCGCGAAGCCGGTGGCCGAGGCGTTGGTGCGGTTGATCTTCGCCGCGCAGACGCGTCTGGCGACCAAGAACGTCCTGTGGACCTGCGAGCCGGAGCTGGTGCGGGCGAACGGACAGTGGTTTGTTCCGAGGATTGTTCCGGACAAGCGGCTGAATGACCAGCTGAATGCGCGGAAGATGGTCGTGCAGGGCACGGCGACATCGGAGAAGCTGGAGCTGGCGAAGCAGGCGGATCGCTATGTGCTGTCGCCTGCGCTGCCGTCGGTTGTGGCGGCGGATGCTGCGGTAGAGGTCACCGTTGCGCACACGCTGGTGCATGCGGTGCACCTGGATGGAAGCTCGGTTTGTATTGCATCGGGAAGCGTGTTGGATAAGCCCGATGTCCAGGTGGTTGCGTTCACCGACTCAGTGGCATCGGTGGTTACTGCGTCTGCGGAGATGGTGTTTCCTGTGGCCAACGCCAGCCCGTCGCTCCTTCAGACAATTGCTTTCGGTCTGGTTGCCGATGACTGGCTGCATGGCTTGTCGGCGGCAGACACCGTGGCTCTCCACCATGCGGATGAGCCGCTCGGCCGGGTGGTGAGGAGGAAGGCGGCGGACGCAGGCGTGTCGGTGGTTGATGTGCGCACGCATGCCTATGCCTCGGAGCGCAGCATCCGCGCGCAGATTCCCCCATCCACCAAGCTCCTCGTCGACTTGGCCGAGTCGTCGGTGCCGTGGGAGCGCATCCTCCCCGCGCAGTGCAAGATCTGCAAGACCGACAGCTTCATCGCTCCTGCAGCCAACACCGCCAACCTGAACACCTCCCACCTGCAGAAGGCCATTGCCTGGGCGCAGCAGCAGCCCGCCGACACCACCCCCGAGACGATCCCGGCTGCAGAACTGGCCAACAGGCCCACGCCCCCCTACCACGCCATCCTCGCCTTCACCCCCTCTACCACCATCCCCACCATCACCCGCCCGATCAACCCAGCCCTGCTCTTCCGCCCCGACAGAACGTACCTCCTGGTCGGCTGCACCGGCGGCCTCGGCCAATCGCTATGCAGATGGATGGTCCTCCACGGCGCGCGCCACCTGGCCCTGACCACGCGCAACCGCACGCGCATCTCCACCACCTGGCTGGCCGACCTGGCACAGCTAGGCGCCACCGTCCGCCTCTTCGAAGCCGACGTCGCCGACATGGCCTCACTCACCACCGTCCACAGCGAGATCTCCACCCGCATGCCCCCGATCGCCGGAATTGCCAACGCCGCCATGGTGCTCTCCGACCGCTCCTTCGGCGAGCTCAAGCCCTCCGACTTCACCACCGTCTTTGGACCCAAGGTCCAGGGCACGAAGAACCTGGACACGCTGTTCCACACCCAGACGCTGGACTTCTTCATCATGTTCTCCTCGCTGGCCAGCATCGTCGGCAACCGGGGCCAGAGCAACTACGTCGCGGCCAACCTGTTCATGTCGACCGTGGCGGCGCAGCGGCGGGCGCGCGGGCTCGCGGCCTCGGTGTTCCACATCGGCATGGTCCTGGGCGTGGGGTACGTGAGCACCACAGGCGTGTACGAGACGACGCTCCGACAGTACAAGTACATGCCCATCGCGGAACCGGAGTTCTGGGACATGTTTGCCCAGGCGATCGTGATCGGCCATCCCACCCTGTCCGGCGGGCATGCGCCGGAGATGATCACGGGGTTGCATCGACACAGTCTCCGCGAGGAGGCGGGCAAGGCGTTCTGGGCTGAGAACCCGCGGTTTAGTCTGCATACCCTCGTCGAAGAAAGCCAGACGGTGGTGACGGATGCATCGTCGGCCAAGCAGGTCCCGCTGGCGGAGGCGGTGGCGGAAGCGGGAACGTTGGAGGAGGTGGACGGCGTGATTCAGGATGCGTTTGTCGGGAAGATGGAGCGGATGCTGCAGGCGGCGAAGGGGTCGATTGAGCGGGGTCAGCCGCTGATCAACTTGGGGGTGGACTCGTTGATTGCCGTGGAGATCCGGTCGTGGTTTCTCAAGGAGTTGGAGGTGGACATGCCGGTGCTCAAGCTGGTGGGTGGCATGTCCGTCGGGGAGTTGTGTCGCGAGGCGGCGAGTGAGGTGCTCAAGAGTCTGCCTATCAAGGTGTAGTGGTCTTTCTGTATTTACTGAGTTCTGGTGTGTACTCTTAATCGAACATCTGGGACACATGGTATCTCGATATGTAATTAGCAAATCAAGCGGCATGTTGAACGATATCCATAGTTTTCACCAAAAAGGACGGAGGGGTTTCCACACTTGTATTATCGGAATCCTTGTCTAAGTTCTTAAGTACAGTACAGAGCATAGACAGTGTATATGATAGCCATGGATCTCTTCTTTGCCATAGGATGTTGAAAATACATCTCGCGGAGAGACGGAGGTGGTCGTGGAAGTCTTCCCCGTCATGGATAGATTTCCTTGGGTAACAATTGTATATTCGGTGTAGTATCCGTCACGGACGAGGATGTTGGTGATTTTGACTATCTCTCACTATCAGGCAGGAACTAGCTAAGGCTACGGAAAGATATAAGTCAGTGGCTATTCTGCAGAAGGAGATTGTGTCCCAAAATAATAAGATGATGAAACTCTTTAGGTAAATGTTTATAATTTTAGTGAAAGGACAATAACAATCTATTCTTTGATCAAGTCTTTGTACAACATTTTTTGCATGTTTCAAAAACCTTGGGGGTTTGATATAAACAGGGTTTTCAAAATCATAGAACGAAATGAGCTGTGGAGTGATTAGAAGGGCTTCAAAAATCTTTATAATTGAAGAAACTTGTAAAAGTTGAAAGATAGGTGGGCGGGTGTAGACAATCAGATCTGTATCTTCTAATAATCCTCCTCTTAGCACACTCCTTCCACAAGGTGTGCGATGAAGAGACCTACCAACCGAAGGCCGTCTAATCGAAAAATCTCTCGCACAAACGTGAGTGTCCCATTGTGGAAATCAACCAAGCCCTCGTCTCCCAGAGTATTGAGATTGTCCGGATCTTCGGCGATCACGAAATGGATGCTACCATCATTTGCTTCCAGCGTTCTCAGATTGGGTGGCTCCCACTCCTCTTGATCGTTCGTTGCCTGTGATTTTCTCGGCGGGAACCACCTCGTGGATCAAGTCTTCGATGTGGCATTGAGCCCAGAGAGCGACCATCACCTTGGGAGCCAACACAGATCATGAAACCAACCTAACGCAAAAAGAGGCGACCCCCGCCGTCCCTATACCCCCAGAGCACAGCACAGGAGAACCTCTCATTCCAAACCACCCCGACCCTCACGACCCATCCAAACCAAAACCCCAGCTATACAGAGTCTGTAAAAGCAATATTTCTCGCCCCTCTCAGAATCAATCCACTGAACCAAATCAAACCACCAAAAGGCAATTCAATCCGTCATCGCAGATCACATGGAAAGAGGATACGACGTGTGTCATCAGACGTTTCGTCAAACGTCCCAGGCCACTTCTTGCGAAAATAAACCATCGCGAACTGACAGGTGTCAGTTTCCCCCCTTGGGAATAATTGCTTATCTCGTCCGTTTCAATCCCCGAATCTTCCGCGTGTCTCTTGGCTTGTTCCATGGTAGCTAAGCATGGAGCCAAAAATAGTTGTATATACTTACCTTTTTGGGTGCGGAGTTTCGGGTGCGGGGGCAGGCCTGGTCCTTACGCTTGAAGCGTCAAGGCTCGTCATTGTCGAGAGTTTAGATCAAGGTATACTTGATCGAGGTCATAGTTTGGTTGGGCCGTGCAGATCGAGGCAGCTAGGGGTGGGACGCTTCTCATACTAGGATCCGGAGGATGGGTATGGTGGGAGTCACCTCTAGTTGCTTGAGAGGAAAAATTATTCTTGGACGTGGAGGGGCGTTATATAGTGTGAGGAGGGGGCTGTTATGAGGGGTTTTCTTTGTTTGGGTAATGGCGAACGTCTGTGTGTTGGCTTTGTTAATCGTATCGCTCGAGGACTGAACAAAGGAAGGGATCGACACAAAGGACTTTGATGGAAGAACGGAGTTCAAAGAACTTTGTGAGAATGTCTCACTGTATGCGCGGAAAGATTCGCAAATTGGGTCTTCCCGATGACATTCCTAGCTGCTTTTGAATCACGGAGCAGCTTAGAGTTCTTGTCATGTGCATGGGATGCGGATAATCGTCCTGACTATGGACTCTTAAAGAGCAAAGAACATCAGACACCTGTGCTTTGGGATCTGAATATCTAGCCTGTGGAACTTTTACGGTGCATTCGGAGTGTCGCTCACTTGCGATGCTTCTTGCTTACTGATTGTAGTATGATTTTAGCTATAGCAAAGATAATCTGGCCGAGCATTTCACATTCTGACCAGAATGTCGGGAAATGATTGTCATTAGCTTTTCCTCCTCCCCTTTTGTCAGCGGTGGTACGTACCTGAAGAAAGCTATTAAGCTCTAGTATATTTCCAATTCCTCTAGCAAATTGCTTCAGAATGCCAAGAGCCTCGAGCCAGTAGAGCAGTTTCAGTTCTAAAAAGAGTTGGATCAAGCTATTTGCAGATAAAGCGACCGTTCTTCTGGAATATGCATGTAGTAAAGGATCGATCCAATATGTGCAAGAGTAACGTACTGGCGCCAAGGGGTCAGGCGGAGGAGGCCAGATGCTCTCGACCGGACACCCCGGATTAAGAATGTTGTATAGGTTGTGTCGAAGTGTCCGGTTCATTCCTTTATGGGACCGAGAAAGAATCGTACCGTGTTCGATGCCGATACCTGCTGGTATTACAGAAATGGATGCCAGCAAGAAATCCTTTGCCGATTGATGGACAAAATAAATGGAGCCTCTTCGGAGAGATAGGAATGAGCCACAGAGCTTGATAACTCGCTTTATCATTCGTGGGGGTAAATTCGAAAGTACTGGTAGCTCTTCCACTGACAGAGGCCGGTATGCCGTGCAAACAGTGGCGAGAACACATTGATACAAATGTTTACCTTCTGACATCTCAATGTCACGCATCATGCGCCTGTACAAATCATCGAGACTCGCAGGAAATGATGTGAGAATAGTTTCCACGTCGCACACAGATGTTTTCGCAAGCCTCTCGCAGACCAAGGCAACCCACAGAAATGTGTCGTTGGAGTTTGACGCAAATACTCTCGGGTAAGGTCTTTCGTGTTCTCATCGTACCCGTTCAGCGCTGCGAGAAAGTCCACCTTAATCCGAATATAGGTCTTCACAGCGGCAGCAACAGAATTCTCGTTCAACTCGAGAGACAAAGTGGAGCAGTATGTAGTTGTCAAATGCTTCTCAATATCGGGCCAATTCCGACTCGAAACAATCCACCTGAAACGAGGATTTTCTGTTGGCCGTTTTACCAGTTCAGGCAGCAGCGGCAGGTCTGTGCTGCACTCATCTAAAGCATCGATTATCAACAGCGTAGCTTCTAATCCTGGGTCCTCTAGAATTTCGAGAAACATCTTCGATAGAGCGTACCAAGCATTTGTATCTTCGAATAGCGTTTTTCCTTCCACGTCGTAGCGCGGCCGGATATAGGACAGCAGATTCGGCCTCTGATCCACGAGTAGGAAGTTCAAACCTCGCAGACGGATGTTGTATCGTTGAGGCGAGCATCACTCTGTTGGCAGAAGAAATACGACAATGGGCGGGTTTCAGGCATTTCCTTGGTCAATTCATCAATGATCCCGCAAAGTAGCATGGTCTTTCCTTTGCCGGGATCAGCGCGGATCCAAAGTAGGCGGTCGTTGACATTGCGATCGCGCTCGCCATCATTTGCCATTTTCTGAACTCGTCGTTGCTCAAATCCAACGATATGAGTCCATAAGCGGGCCCCCTTGAAACCTTGGATTTGGACCTTGTCATCGCGCGGACTGGTTGTCCGAAGATCCCGTAGACACGCTTCATTGCGTGAGGCTTGCGATGATCCTAGAGCAAAGAGGAACGACCAGGTCGAGTGATATCAGCATAGTGTCAAGCTGGTGTGACTGCAAGGGTTTACGTGATGATTGTGGAACTCAACATTGCGGTTGTTCTGGCCAAGCTGGCAGGAGCCCCGCGTTCGTGGAGTTGTTAAACAGCGCTGTTGAGGTGTTCATTATGTGACAGATTAGCTGCTAATTGCGGCGTGGGAGTCAACATGTGGTCATCTTCCGCGTGTAGGACAAGATAAACAAGAACTCAAGGTCTGTGAATGATGACTGGGGAAGAGGAGGAATCTTTGTACGCTACCACGGACCCCTCATTTCAGCTGGCCAAATGCAGTGACATCGCCTGCAGGTGCGCCGAACTTGCAGGGTGCATTGGTCCAATGACAATAGCAAAGATTGTTACAGGGGGTTGGCATTAGTCTGCCGGATTCGAGCAATCATCTTCCTATATGCGGTCGACCGCGGCTATTTCGCACGATCCCCGCTGAGATGCTATATTTAGTCACTGACTGCTGGGCGTCTCGAATTTCATCAATCTTGGTAATCACAGTGGGACGGCAGCCATGCCATCAAAAATAAATCTAGTGCGACTTGGCCAATGATTTCTCTTTCAGTCTTGACAGTTATTCCCAGCTTATTCTGAGACTATCACGGGACTCTCAGAGCATTCGAGTGAATCAGCAATACGAGTCAATGCCAGCCCTTTACTTCAAGGACCTCAAGACCGTGGCGAGTCTTAGAAGGTTTTCTACCGGCATTCCCCTCAAAACATATTTTATACATGCTGGTAACGCACTAGTCGAGAAAGGATTTCTGTGAAGGTAATTGAGGAATACCCTACCACAACTCGATCATGCTATGAGCATTATGATCTATGATACAATCTCCCACAAACAGCAAGCCAGACCACCCAGTAACGCACTAAACAGGCATCTTCAACCCCGTAACCTCCTCGCAGGCCTTAATAGCCTTCTCCTGAAGCGCAACATCCTGCGTCGCCGGTAGAGCACTCCCGCGCTTCCTCTTAGGGTCAAAGTACGCTCCCGTGATACTCTGATCATACTCCCCCTCCGCCAGCATCACATAAGTCTCGACCCCATCCTCCAACCGATCCGGCGCCCCCGCACCCCCCAACTTGGTCGCCACCCACCCCGGATGCACAGAGACCACACTCGACCTCCCCTGCCACAATCTCGCAAACGCATTCGCAATCAATATAACATGAAACTTCGAATCACAATACGCCTGGAAATCCTGAAAGGTGCGCTCGCCGCGCTTTAGCCAGAAAATATCCTCCACGGCAGTATTCTGGGCACTGCGGTGCAACTGCGAGGATATGATGATCAGCCGTTTCGGGCGATGCAGCAAGCACGCGAGGATATACGGCGCCACGACGTTGACAAACACCATGGCCGGGATGCCAGTGTCCGGAGTCTTGCGGAAGGGTCCGGAGAGCATTCCCGCGTTGAGGATCACCGCGTCGAACGTGCCGATGGCGTTGGCTTCTTCGGCCAACTGGCGCGTTGCTTCGAGATTGCTGAGGTCGGCAATCAACACTCCCGCGGCGCCGGGACAGGCTGCTTGGGCGTGGTCTGCGCGGTCTTGGTTGCGTGCGTGCAGGTAGACGGTGTGGCCGCGCTGGACCAGTTGGCGGGCCGCTTCCAGGCCAAAGCCGTCGGCGGAGCCGGTGATGAGGATGCGGACCATTGGTTGAATTGGATTGCAATGCAGCGTGAGAATGGTCGGGTGCAGGTGGTGAGGACTTGGACTCGAGGACGCGTGCTGGTGCAATTGGGACGATGGATATATCGGATGACCTCAGATTCTGAACAGGAAATTTGTTGCTTTTGGGCAATCACAAAGAATATATTCATGTCTTCGGCAAAGGCAGTTGACATCATGGTTAGCACTCGCTCGGAGACCGCGACCATAAGTCCGGTTACGGCCGGCTTGCCGGTGGGGTCGCCCACTCATCGCCATGAAGAATTCTTCCAGAAGACCGCCTCACACTCGAGGCTGTCCCACATCCCCATCCGTTGCCATGTGGGGCCAGAAAGGCTGGCAAAACTAAAAAGAATTGTCCCGAGGGAGGTTCGAACTCCCGGCCTTGGGATCGCCCAGAAGTGATCTTCCGAGTCATACTGATGTATGAGACCCACGTGATAACCAACTACACCATCGAGACGAGTGGTTGAGGTGAGACTCCTGGGTTGGTAATATGTACCACAGCTTTCAGAAGTGCTGACAATCCCGTCTCAGATCTAACCGCAATTTGCAACTCAGCGACGATGACCACATCCGCCAACATTAGAGAGGATACTCGATGAACATTATCATGTGTCTCCATTTCTCAAGTTCCCACACCGAAAGGAACCACTTGAAGAATTGGCTTTTGAATATGATTCTTTCTGTGCCATTGACTCGGGCTCCCTCTCGCGTGTGTAGATAACATCCGCTGGGATGCTTACATTTCAGCTCTGATTCGCTGCGACATACCCCACGTACTACGACCGGGTTCGCACCCAACTCCGAGCCTCGCCCCTCGAAGACGTCGCAGATGGCCACCTGTGCAATTTATAAAGAAGACTTGTCGGAGGAGAAGTGCGCCGGATCTCAATTCAATCCGAATCCGACCTTCAACTGGATGTTGGTAGGCTTTGAATTTGAACTTTGTCGATTTCGACAGAAGGTGGGCAACAGTCTTGGCAGTTCTCCCGCGAAACATTGCGTATATATATAGCCCTGCGAGTGGCACCATTGAAGGTGGGAGAACTTGTCCCCCGCAACGCAGTGAAATATCAGAAGCTGGGAAACTGGCGACAGGGCATGGTTTCTTGTAGTCCTACGATGATTTGTCGTCGACTAAGGATACTGTCAAGTATGTTTTTAATTAGTGCCGAGAAGAATAAACATTCATCTATTACGTTAGCTGTCTGTATGGAGCCAAGCTCCTTAGCTGTCTGTGATATTATAAACAAGCTTCTCGCCACTAATCTTTCCCTCCCTCAACAGCTGCAGCCCGTCCAGAATACCATCCAGCCCGCCCCCACCAACGCGAATCGGATGGGGCTTGATCTTGCCAATCGCTAGCAACTCCTGGAAAATAGCAGTAAAAGCTTCCGCGAACTCTCTATCGACCGGTCGCGCTGGAATCTCCTTGGATCCAAAGATAAATCTCTCACCGAATGCAGTGTAGGCCATCGTGGCTCGATCACGTACATTCTCCCGTTCAATTGCGATTGGTAGCAGGGAGCTATAGTCAGCGCCCTGCGAGGAAAGAGCCATGTCACAGAATCTGGCACTGCTCTCGATTGACACGGTATCGAAAGCCAAAGTTAGACTGTCGTTGGTAAGCTTCCTGATTGCATTGGCGGCTTCTGGATCGTTGTAGTTGAAAACTGCGTCCGCGCCGAGGGACTTCACCCGATCGGCGTGACGAGGAGAACATGTCGTTAGAACTGTATACCCCGATAACTTGGCAAGCTGAATCGCCAAGGTCCCTGTCGCCGTTGATCCTCCATAGACTAGAACTGGAACCTTTTCCTGCACTGGGGACGTGGGTAGGGAAAGACGGAGGCTCTGGTAGAGTCCCAGCGCAGCAGTGATAGCTCCCAAGCCTAAGGTTGCAGCCTCTTCGAAAGACATGGTCTCAGGGACCCTGTACTGGAGATCTCCCTTAGAGACAATGTATTCCGCGAAAGCCCCGTCCTCTGGCTGGACGGCATTGGATCCGTGCACGAATCCACAGATGCGGTCGCCTTTGGCAAATGGCTTCTTGACAGCCTTGCCAACGGCTTCCACGATGCCGGCGTAGTCGCACCCGACAAGCACTCCAGGACTGGCGAGGTAGTCGATATGCTTCCAGTCGGTGGGGTTCAATGCGAAACTTACGGTTTTGACTAGGATGCAGTCATCTCGCAACCTCGGAATAGGCCTGTCGTCGACCACTTTTGCCTGCTGGGGTGCGGTGATAATGACTGCTTTCTGGTATGTCATGATAAGAGAGATTTGATGTGATGATGAAAGATGACGGAGAGAAATCAATCGACGGCATGTTTTTGCCAGGGTCTCGCCTGATATACTCACAACAACGGACTAGGTAATGGAGATTAGTATTAAAAAAAGGTACTAGTAGATGCTTTCCCTGCACCTCCCGCCGTGCACTGCATCCGCCTGGCTAAAAAGAGAGCGGGTCTATCCGACCAATGAGACTAGAAATGTAAGCATCGGACTTTAGAGTGGGTCCGAGCATATTCCCATGGCACACTCCAGTACGAGTAACAGTCTCAAGCGGCAGAGCAGACAACCGATGATGTCAGAAACCAAACTCTCAGTTTTCTCGACCATTGGGAAAAATAACACTAGCCATGCATGGACAATCAGACCATCTCACTACCCCAGATAATCACCAAACACCCTCCGCCAAGCGAGGGGCTTTTCATCCCTCCGAGCTCTCCACTTATTCGTCGAAACAAGAATGTCCGGACATCCGCGAAGAAAGTACCCCCACTTCCGTGCAAATTCCTCCGTGACCTCCCAATTCAATGGATCCCACGGATCTCCCCAGACAAGTAATGTTGCGCTACTGCTGCGCGTATCCCAGAAAGCGGTTAGATCATGGCAGAGCCCATGACCATCGAGCAAATCCCCCGCGCGGATCAAATTATCGCGCATTTGCTCAAAGGGAAAGATGTCGAGCCAAGGGTGATGCGGCACAGTGCGCTGCACGGGGGTCGGGCGCAACCGCTCTGGGATCGTGCTCAAGGTATATTGCGGTGAATGAGGGCCAGTTATACTAAAGATTGAAACCGCGTCATCCCGACACATCCATTCGATGGTCATGCCGGCGACGACTGCATTCTGGTACGCTGCGCGGACTACGTTGAGTCGACTCAGGCTGAGGAGGAGATCTGTCCGGGGTGAACCCATAGCGTGGGCAGCTCGGGCGCGTTTCTCAAATTGAACCATCAGAATGTGGAAATCGGGAGGGGCGTATGTGTATCGCGTGGGATCCACCTCGGGGAGGTTATAGAAAATAGAGTCGTGGTCGCTGGATAGCTCAGGTGATGTCTGAACTCGAGATTGATCGACAGCGGCAACCGCACGAGTTGGTTTACGATTCAACAGCAGTTTGTCATCCCTACTGCGCGGATTTCGTCGCTGGCCTTTGGTGCAAACCATTGGACTTCGTCAGCATTGATAACTAGTGGTAAGAGTATGGCTGAGAGCGTTACGGTAGGCTCTTTGATTTAGACGATTCTGTACGCGTCGCCGCAGAGCCGGATCGGTGACCCCGACTAAATCATCCTCGGGTGCATTGGCTGTGGTCGCGTGTCGTCTGTTACGCCGATGCTTGATCTCGGAGTTTGCATCCATCATTGCCAAGGCTTGCGAAGTTTGAAGCGAGTCGTCCGGTCGGTCGCAGTGTAGAGTCTCGGTGTTAGGATGGGCCAAGAAAGATAGTTCGGATCAAGAACTGAGATACAGATGCTTACTCCAAGACGATAATTGGCGAAAGGAGAGAATGGCAAGTACTCTGACTTGAGGTGATTTGTAATCCGAAGTTCCGGCGACCTCCCGTACTCTCTCTCAGTGGACCGGAAATAGCTGTTAAGGTTCAACTGGATCGATGACTCGGATGTTCCACACTTGCTATGAGTAAGTTATCTCGGCTGGGGCGTTTCGATGGAATTGTTTACATCGAAACACTTTTCAAAGGACAATGGTTAGAAAGTTGAATATAAGGTCCCAATCCTGACAGTCTTGCCTATCCTTGCCCATCCCATCAACTCTTAGTATATTCGATTGAACATTGCATGCACCATGGCATCTCACCCTGCAGTCATTGCAACTAATGTTAAACAACCCCTCACTATTCAGCAAGTCCCGACGCCCGAGCTTGAACACTATGAGCTTCGTGTCCGCATTGAATGGGTCGTATCTGCCCCCTTGGATGTCTACCAAGTCGACTCAGGCTTGATGGCCCAGTTCCCTCAAAGTCTGGGCGACAGTGGTGCCGGCACTGTAGTGGCAGCTGGACCTGGGGTCAGACGCCTACAGGCTGGAGATCAGGTCTTCGGCTTCTTTTTCCACAACGAAAAGGAGAAGGGGCAACAGGTGTATGTTACGGCACCAGAGCATCTGTTCGGAAAGGTATGATGTTCCCCGCTTAATCGGTGTCTTCCTTATCCACAGTTGACGGAAACATCCAGGTTCCCTCTGGCATATCGATGCCCGCGGCCGCTACTGTGCCAACCAATGTTTCCACCGCCTATTTGGCCTTGACGGAAAAGCTGGACCTCGAGCTCCCCTGGCCGCGCCCGTCGGGATTCTCACCAAAAAGTCCAGAGTGTCCTATTGTCATCTGGGGAGGAGGCAGCTCGGTCGGTCAGTACGCCATTCAGCTCCTCCACCACTGGGGTTATACGAATGTCATCGCTACCGCATCGCCACAGCACCACGAAAAGCTCAAGGTTTATGGTGCCCAACACGTCGTCGACTACCGCGAGTCTAATGTCGTCGACTCTATTCTGGAGATCGTGAACAAGAGCAAGCTCTCAGCACCCATTCGCGCTTTCGATTGCGTGAGCTCCAAGTCTGGGTCACTGCAGCATCTTGCCAAGATCGCCTCCCTTTCTGGCTCCATTGTCGCAGCTGTTCTTCCTGTTGTGCTTCGGTCGCCTTCAAACCCAGCCGGTGTGCAGCTTTCTGCTGATGTCGAAGGAGAAGTATCCTGGGCGCCTGGCGTAGAGGTCCATAGTATTGTCAGCTATAAATTCGAGACGGTATGGTTCAAACTCACCTTTTCCCATTTCAAAACTAATCTTCGGACAGAATCCATTCCTGAAGGACCATCTCCTGCCCGATATTATACCCTCTCTTCTCGCGTCGGGTAGCCTCGAGCCCAACAGGTATCGAGAGATCGAGGGCGCTTCACTTCTGCAAAGGGCTAGCACCGCGTTGGATATGATGAGAAATGGCGCCGTCAGCGGGGAAAGACTTGTGTGGAAGGTGTGGACAGCCGAGGAATATCCGGAGTTCTCGTGAGGCCGACGTACGTTGTCGAGGATTCTTGCCCGCAGCTCGAGTGTGCAGGTGAACCGAGATTATGTGTGATAGACAATTGCGACACATTTCTGGTACCGAGCTTGGTGCTGTTGCAAACAGTACCTGTAGGCGAGGTGCGTCCCAATGCATCACGTGCCGGGTATACTTGATAACTTCGCTGTTTTCGATCGGCTTAATGAGATGACCGGTTCTGAATTGGCGAAAACTACCCAAGAGCAATGGAATGAATGAGAGATGGGTCTATGATTATAGGGACTTCCTTGAACTGGCTGCTAAGGAGCATCATTTAATTCAGCAGAGCGATGATGGACGACGATGTCGGCACTTTTAGCAGTGATACAAATATCATAGTTTCTACAAAAATGCTCTTATTATACTCGAACTCCATGGCGACTTGCTCATTCGGATATTTGAGTTCTTCCAAGACTTTAGGGTGAACAAAAACCAGATAATTTGGTGGACTCAGGATATACCGGGCTATATCGGTCGGACTTTGCATCCAGTCCAGGCCCAGATAGACGGCAAACTAATATCGGACATCTGCCTTGTTTGTCATGTGTTCAATGATCTAGCCTCACCGCTACTATGCCCGATCCTATTTGTCAATCTAGACCAGGAGTCCCTTAATAGAGCTGTCCATTTGTCGCGATGTCCACACGTGGCCAAAGGAATTCTGGGCATCCAAGTCGGTCTCGCCTTCCGGGTCAAAGACATGAGACAGATTGCGAATCCTTTGCGAGACATCATCACAATACACTGGCAGGCAAACTTGAAGTCTGGAAGATGGAGGTGAAACAGTTGCAATCTCCACAATCTTCCCACAACCCGGACGCACAGCACCTGATACCCTCTACCGCACCCGGAGTTGTCGAGGTTAACTTCTACCACATGTCCCTCGCGATGAAGCCCTACATATTCACTAAAAAGAACGATGGAATCATGATTGGTAAATCACATGTTAGACAGCTACGCGCTCGTTTTGCCAAGCGCAGAAGGAGAACATCAGAAAGAGTTCCCTTCAGGTGCAGCTCGTCAGGTTGGGGTCATTTGTCGCCTCTTTAGCAGCGTGCTTTGCTCTAATGCCAAGAGCAGAGTGCGTGGGGTTTTGCGACGCAGCGGAGTCACCCGTTCATCACCGGTACGCTTTGTTTGACCGTTATCAGTTCCTGAAGGCTCTATGTCATCCTCTCAGATGGGATGAGATCAAAATTCATCTTTGCAACCCGCTAGTTCCCGACAAGATCCTCTTCGAACTACCAATCTCTATTCAGCGGGCTGGCAAGATGACTCGTAATTTACACGTTAGGCTGCTGTCCGTCCGGAGACAGATTCGCTATGATGCCAGCTCAGGGTCCTATACTGCGCATGCAAACTGGGCTTTACACTGCCGCCTTCCTCAATGGTCTGGCGGATGCACCTGTCTAGATCCGGCATCGGGGAGCAAGAGCGCGGCCGCAGGTCGGATGCAGGACGTTGGGAACGGATGGCACTTCGGTTGGGTGTAGCAGTGGCGTTTGCGTTCCGGCCATCGGGCTCGACCGGGCGCATGAGCGCGTTGCCATCGGGATCTGTCCGCGACCGTGTTTGGAAGCGTGAGAATTGGACATGGCGCAAGTAACTCAGGGGCTTCTAGGGTGACTGGCGGGTCTTGCTCTGGTAGACCTTCATAGGAAAAGTCAAGAAATGATCTTTATTTAGGGGGGTATTACCATGATGGGTGTTGTGTGGGGGCTTTGTTGTTTATGTATCACAACATGTTAACCTAGTTCTTCCTACAAATCACGTCTAATTGATGGGATTGATGCCTCGAAATTTTATCCGTGTTCCGTGGATGAACCAATTGATCGACCAAGCGATGCTAAATTGCAAAGCAAGTAGTTGCTTCACAGATCCAACGGACAATTCTGGGCTCAGAGGTGGTATGGGCAGATCGAATGATAGGTATATGCATAGTTACTTCTTGAACTGGCTGAGTTGCAATAATGCAATACTCTTTCTAAATGTGTCATCAGCCTTAGAGTAGTCTATTCATCACAATAAATCCTCTAACCACCTGCAAAAGGATTGGGCCAACATGGTATTTGCCGAACTACAAAGAAAGTCCTTAATACAAGCCGGTCATATATAGTACCTACCACTGTCAGTTCCTCGATCTTATTAGTACCCAACGTATACAAGAGAGCTAGTACTCGAGGGAATCGTGTTATATTTACACAAGATCTGCCTTGATGAAGACAATAAATGGCTTGTTACCCTAGGCCCTAGCTTGCCATGTTCCTACAATATAGCTGCTACCCAAACATAAAGACAACATGCAAACCAGACCACCATTCTCCCGCTCACTGATGTCCATACCCCGTGTACTCCGTCGTCGACTGCAACTGATGCGCCTCGATCTCCCCGGACTCCAGACAGGCCTGGTTCTTGGCCAACACATGATCCGCCGGGAGCAGCCACCCTGGATGAAACACATTGAAGACACCAACCGCGATCACCATCATTACGCCGTCAAGACCAATGAAGTAGGACTCATGCGTGATGAGATAGCCAGTCCAGCCCTGCGCCAGCTCGATGGTCCGATAGATACTTCGTATATAGATACAAACCACGGAAAGCACCATAGCGCCGACGAGGTAGGCGAGCGGACCGTGGAGAAGACCTTGCAAGTACCCAAGACGCAGGGAACGGCGGAAGAAGTCCACGGCACAGAAGACAAAAACTGTGACGGAGACTAGCTGGAAAACGATACCGGCGACCATGGTGTTAGTGCCCGGGGCGGTGTTGCCGTTGACTTCGTTGGACTCAGTGGAGGCCAATGCGCCGCCTACGGCTTGAACCACGAGCGAGATGACGTCGCAGGTGCAGAAGATCCAGAGGTATAGTTTCGGGGAGAGGATCGAGGATTCGCGACCGAAGAGTTGGATGAGTCGGCCGAGCAGAACGTAAATTGCGGCGGTGAAGAAGGTTGGTGCTTTGAGGTGTTAGCGTGTGTGCTTATCTGTGTGTGCAAGTTGGCTAAGGCTAGTTCTTACCGATAATCAGGGTTGAGATCTGGATCATGAATGCGGTGGAGTTGTAGGGACATTGGGAGGCCCACGTCCGCCCGGCCCAACCGAGGACTTCCACTGCAGTGGGGTTAGCTGAGTATCCTTGTGATTTGGTAACTCAATAGCATTCATACCCATGCATCCGATGCTGAAGAGACTGCACCACCATGTTCGCTTCCAGCAAAATTGGGCAATGTGAACGATCATCGATAGGCCGAAGAGGACACAGAACGCAATTCCGGCGCCTTCGGAGGGGATGTATCCGTACGAAGTACTAACGCCCTCGGTGTAGGCTTTGCAGCCTACGTAAAGGTCATTCTCATCAGAAGTTGCCATCGTGAGGTGGTTGGATGGTCAATATGTTGTGTTAGAGAACAATTAAACAGGTTCTTGGCTTTGAATGAGATCTGGTCAGATTCGAGAGTGAAAAGTTTACTGCTAGTTCGAACATCTGACATCTCGACAATTTATATACCAGGGACACACTGCGAGGCTATAACAAACGCTCTTAGCTAATGGTGAAGGCATCAACATAAAGTTGACGCGTGAACCAATCATAGGACCACATACTACACAGCCTTCTACTACGATTAACTTGAAGGATCAAAGCATCAGGCAGCGAAGATACGGAGTATGAATGGGGCGGCTCTCGGAAAGATCGACAGCCCTTGGATCTCTAATCTTATCCACAGCCGCACGCCAAGAGCTAGGGCCCGGCAATTGCCGTCTGTGATTGAACGGGCCGTAAATGTACGGCGTGGCTTATCTTTAGTGCGATCCTTATATCCCGACGAAATTCTGATTGGTCTCATCGTAATCCTACCACCCCGGTGGGGGCCACGACAACATGAAACATGAGATAGAATTTTCAGACCGTCCCTGTAAATTTGAGTAGGTAGATCTATTTAGCCACGGCTGATCCTGCGAGAGGACGCCTCGTCTCGCTCACCAGCCCACATTCTCCCATCGAAGCTCCCAGGGCCCGTCTAGTCCATGAGGCTTAGAGCGGAAAAGCACCAGGCACGGATTCGCCCGTGACTCCCTTTCGCTTACTATTGACGCATCGTGCACCCGCTGACGTGCCAGCGGAGTCCTCTGCGCGACGGGCAGATGCGAAAGCCCCACCTCCTCCAGTTCCATAACCCGACTCGCCACCGCAACATGCAGCCCTTTGTCCCACAAGCCTTCCCGGGCTGGGTATCTCGATAATAGAGCAAGAGCTCTCCGCCGCAGAACCGGGTGTCGACAGCGCTGGGCCGTCCAGTAAAGCACAGGTATTAGCTCAGCGTCGAGGAAAAACTGCTCCCCGACCGAGCTGCGTTCGTCTACAACACACAATTCGACCAACTTCTCACCTGCACACACGATGGCTTCGAAATTCGGGATGAACTTGTCGAGAACCATCTCATCGAGAGAGGTACAAGTGCTCAGCCACGTGATCGCGGTGTGGTACTGGCATGCCATAGACAAGGGCGCCCGCGGATCGAGGGTCCCGCTGGCCTTGGCGGGCTTTCTCCGCAGTGTCTCGAAGGCTTGGAACCATGCATGGCACTCCCTGAGTAATGCTCCTTGCTGCTGGAAATGTTCTGAGTACAGCGGTTGCGGTGGGTTTGCCAGGACGTGATGCTGGGCGAAACGGACAAAGGACAGGCACCTGGTAATCATGCTCGTCAGGTAATCCCTCGCCTGGTCGATATGGTCAAAACTGAGATTTTTATGCGATCGGAGAGGGGAAGAATCGGGAGATCCTATGTCCAGCGCTGGCATGAGCGGTCGACCAAAGTACGACAATTGATTGTTTTGTCGGCAGAAGAACTGGAACAGGTCTTTATTGATAGTGTCGACAGCGACAGTCTGCCTCGAGAGGATGTCCAGGCCGCCTTGGACGTGATTCATGGCTTGCCTGGAGTTGCCCTGGAGCATCTCGAGACAGACAAATAGGAGGCATTGGATGAGCATCAGGTCAGACCCCATCTCGTTCGGGACTTCGATCTGCCGTAGAAACTGTTGGATCGCTTTGTTGTACTGTTGCAGCGTGAACTCAACAGTGGCCTGTGCAGGCTCAGACCAGCCTGCCAGTTGACGCTGGTGCAGCGCTCCGACAGCGGCAACGGCATGCCGGACCGCCTGGTTACGATGGCTGAGTTGCGGGAGGAACTGGTTCCAGAACTGCGACGGGAAGAAGCCCGACAGCGCGGGCGCGGTTTGCGTGCAAAAGAACTGCACGTACTGCCGCTCCTCCCACGTGCCTGGCACGAGCACAATCCTTTGATCCGAAGTCGGGCTCAACCCCGGGTGCCAAGGGGTAGACTGGATGAGGGCTTGGCGAAGTTGACTTTGTGAGGCTTCGGTGTAGCCGTCGCATTTGCGCCCAGAGCGTGTGCACTGGCTGCACGCGGGCTTCTCTTCCCCACACTTGACATGGCGTATCCTGTCATATCGAGCCGTGAGTCAGGGGTCGTAGTTGTGTGGCGGTCTGACTCGGGTGTGCTACATACTTGCAGGTTATGCATCCTTTGCGGGACCTGGGGTTGCTGGTCCTTGTTCTTCGGGTCGCCGATGGTGCCATGGGTACGGTGGTGCTGATGCTATAGGGGATTAATTGATCTCAAGAGGTGATTACTGATTGATAAGTCATGGTGGATGAGGCTGACACTCGTTATCGGAGAATTTCGCGCTAGGCTGACGCAGGATGAACACCACGTGATCGGTACTGAAACACCTGGAGTTATAGTCACTACGGGTCGGCCGTATTGCTACAGACTTATGGAGGAGAGTCTCCGTAGCGTAACCGCCAAGAGGGTAAGGCGCGTCGGGCGGTGTTGTCTTCTGCCACCACCTAGCCCTTCCAACAAGTGTTTAGTACATTTTCCAGTTCCAAGAGTCTGTACGATGCTAATATCTTCTGAAACAACACTCAGAGCAGAAAGCGGTGAGGCCCGGCGCTGCCGCCAGTTGCTGCTTTCCGGTATACGCGCTCGTCCTCCAGGTTCCGGAACTGTTCACCCTGCGGTTTTCGTAATTGTCGGCTGGCATTAAGAGAAAATCCTCACTGTCGGCTCAACCGTAGAAGAGCTAGTATGTACACAGACTACAGAGACATATCCTAAGACTGACACTATTATTGCCAAAAGGGCGACGATTTCTTTAAATCATGCACTAGCCCAGTCCGAACCACTCACATTACTCAGCTCACCTCACCATAACTTCACTTTCGCTTAGTCCTTAAGTTCCTCTACACTTAGGATCTCAAAAAAATGTAATAAGCCCGACATCGAAGAACAAGTCAAAACTTCCAAATCCCTCACCACTAGTTCTACCCATTGTGGGGGCCAAGAGCTCTGACATGTCAGCCCCAGCTGGGCCCCACATAGACATCAATGACCTCCTGCAGCCGCGTCTTAAACACCAGACGAGAAGCCCGACTCGAGAGTCCCTGTGCAAAAAGCCATGACACCCATAATCACAGTTCAACACCGATATTATCGTCCATTACACTCTCTAAAGCTTGTGATAAGTCCATTCTCCAGACAAGAGAACCACAGAAGACAGCCATACCCGAATCATGACACCACAACCGCTTATACCCGGTCAGACACCCGTCTCCGTAGTCCCGACAACACGAGTCGGAGATCTCCCTGCACAGCACATCCCAATTCTTTGTCCTTGTCGAGGCGACGAAGAGCCAGCCGTCCGAGTCGGTGTCGCCGGGGGTGGATTTGCTGGACCCGCAGAATGGGGAGCTGCCCCACCATTTGCACTCGTTGAAGCCGGCCATCTGACAATTTGAATATGCGTAGGTCGCGAATAGCATTACTGTGATCTTTGAAAGGGTGAGAAGTTGCATTGTGGTCAGTGTGGGAGGAGATCGAGACAAAGAGAGCGATGGGAACGGTTGAGTTGCCTGTCTTTTGGAAGGAATAAGAGCACAAGGCTATATACTGTGAAGACAGCATGCTTGCTGAATTGAGTGCAAGGAGGACGGAGCTTCACGGCTGAAGATAATATGGGCCGTGGGCCGCCACCTAGGGGAGTTATTGGGTCTGAGTTCGGTCTCTCTCGTATTCCACGTTGGGTTGTTTGCGGGCAAAGCGTCTACAAGCATCAAAGTACCTCGTATCAGCTTGAAGCTACCATGAGTAGCTACGCAAAGTCACCTCAGTCGCTCGTCCCAGGCAGCGCTTCGCAGCTGCCACGTCAACCCGTTTAGCCACCGCCGGAACATTCCTTGGCAGCCGGGTTCCCATAGATGGACGTTTGTCTAGTCACCGCACTACTCCACACAGCCTTCCTCTATCAACAATCTGATTGATGCTTTTGATAATGTAGCGTAGCTACGGCAGAGTAGAGCAGCTAGTAACTGATACACGTGATATCAAGGGGAGTTGCTGTATCGCAGTAGCTATCGTCATCATCAAACTCTTATCGTCTTGAACTTTCGCTCCTATTCTCCCGGGCACTTTTATTCACATTTTAACCCCATATCTCTCTATTCGAAGGTGATATTTCTGTGTATTTACATAGCTCATTTCAAATTAAAGTTCGATGTATCACTATATTGTGATGCCTGTTACCCCGCATAATTCACCTTATCGGGGCGATTGACAGCCGAGGAAGCCGACGGTCCCGAGCGGGCCTCGGGAGTACCCGACAATCTTAAGTTGACACGAGTCCCGACTGTATTCCCATCGGGCGGAAATATAAGTCCTTTGTTCTACTGCATCACTAGCGAGAACGTACATCGTGACTACGGCATCTTGACATACTACCAACCTAAAATTTCCAGGATCTACCCTCAGCACGAATCCATCTCCTCGACCTCCGTCAATTCCGCAATCGTCGCTTCCAGGAAGTCCTTCTGCGCCGCCAAGAAATCCGTCATGCCGGTAATATTGAACGGACGCTTGGTATCCACCCGCTTCCGCTCCTCCTTCAACTTTAAGCGGATGCGCTCCTCGAGCAGCTCCAACCGATACTCCGTGAAGCCATGGTAGAGCTCCGACCAGTTGCTGATGGCCCGGGACCCGGTCAGGATCAGCTCGTCGCGAATGGATGGATTCCGCGGTCGGAAGGGGGTCACCATGCTGATCCGCTCGCGGCCGCCCTGCGCCTTGAGCGCCTGGTGCTCGATATACCGGCCTTGCATTACCACTGCGGTGCCCTGGGAGACACAATCAGCCAAGAGAAAGAGACGAACAGAAGAAAAGAAAAGAAGAAAAATACACAAAGGAAAAAAGACCGTAGCATGGTGTCGGTGACATACCATCGCTGGCCCGCGGATCTTCATGATCTCACCAGCTGGGGTCCGGATAGCGGTCTCGCCGCCAACCATGTCGCTGCAATCCGACAGCATCGTAACGCACACGAATGGGAAACTGTCGTAATGCCATGCAAAGGCCGAAGTATCCGGTTCATCCTGGACCATGGCAACAGCTGACGCATCCTCGTTGACAGAGATGTTGATATTGGCAATCTCATAGTCGAACGCGACCACGAGGTCCACCCCAGCGACCTGGGATACAATGGCCTGCAGCTCGGACGAGCTCCACGCATCGCAGGTGAAGGGGGCACGTCTGTCGGAATTCAGTCAGTATGGCAAGCAAGGCACATCATCCGAATCTGGAGTGGAGCGATTCACGAACTCTCGGCCCATGCCGCGGATCATGTTCTTGGCGAAGCTCGACGAGTATTGACAGTCTTTCAGGACGGGCTCACTGAAGATCTCTGCCCGCATCTGTTTGATGGCATCGGGAGTGAAGAGGGGAAATGGTTCGGAGGCTGCAATCGGAGAGATCCCGTGTCCTTCGAGACCGATCTCCCGCATGGTGGTGATGCCGTTCGGGGGCTGGAAATTTAGGTCTCGCGTCGCGTCGAAGACCTCTTTTTTCTCCACGCGAGCGCCATTGATGAGCCACTGGGGCAGAGGGTGGCTTGGACGAGTTGCCTTTTTGGTGATAGGGCCCACCACCATGGGTGGTGCGGGGCGCAGGGCATCAACAGAGGGCATTTGGGGCAGTTGGGATATGAATTAGTGGTGTATGGCTGTGGTGGATGCTTATATTCAACTGAAGGTATCAGAGATGGCTGGATATCAGAGCCGAAGCTGACCTGACAGAGATTCACATGGCCATATATATGGCTTTCTGGCTCATGCCAAGCAGGCTCAGCCAGCATCAACCCGATCAACCGTGACCCCGCACGTAGGGAGTGCGCAGATGGTCAGGGTATGGAGGTAGATTGACAATCAGAAAGACCTCAAAACCGACGATAAGGGTCTCGCGGAGATTGTCACCCATATGTACCTTTGCCATAAAGCAAGTTCCCGAGTCGCCGAGACTGCAGGCTTCAGCCGTCGGGTGCTCGGGTTGAAGAGGGGCTGGGTCGGGATTCTCGGATCAGAGGTAGTGTATGTACACAGAAGTAACTACTAGAGCCTATCTCCCTTGCTGGTCCTGTCAACAGACTTCTTTCTCTCATATGTTGCCGCACGGATGATTCGAATTCATATATCTGCTCCATTGGTGCCACACAAATTAGTCAATATTGCCAAGACACTCATCGTGCAAGCCGATTCCCGCGCACGCTCTTGTAGAGGAGGGTTACATTTACTCGTGAGCCGCGTTTATTCATATGTCATCACAAATATGGTTACTTCGGTCTTGAAGCAGCCGAGGCTTTAGACCCGACGACCGAGATTACACTTATTCGAGACTAAAAGTATCGAAGAACCTTCATTGGCCAGAAATGAGCTTTCGGTATTTAGGTTAGAATCTACTAATTGAAAAGTGAGCAAGGATCAAGGAACATGAAAAAGAAGTAGGAGAAGACGACAAAGGAACAAAGACAAGTCTCAGACATAGGACAGAACCGAAAAGTGAGTTTGGGGCTGGGAAGACGCTATCTTAGAGCGACCTGATTTCGGGATCGCTTTGCTATCCGGGCCAGTCCTCGTCGTCTCCCCGTTCGCCGTGGCCTAGTGCTCGACAATTCCAAGAACTCGCGCATCTTGCTCAATCCTTGCAAGTCCTCAGCTTTCGTTCCTGATATGCTATAGTCCACCCAGCCCACAGTTGCCGTCCCTTCGAAGTCCACGAGCCACGCCTCGCGATGGACACCGTCGATCGCAACATTCGCTGCTTTGACATCCACCCAAAAGAGCCCGTGCCGATGAAGAGTATGAACCACGTCGGCTATTTGATCATACCACTTCTGGCGCTCGGCGATGCTTACCTCACCGTCATTGCCGGCCGTGATAAGGTAAAGCAGGGAAACGGGGGACGGTATGTAAGTCATCAGTATACCGGCATACTGAGTGCCGATGCCGATGATTCCTCCAGCTTGAGCACCCGGAGCGAGCGTCCTCCTTCGTTGCACTGTTCCATCTTCCGTAGCATAGAAATATCTCGCTGAAGAGACTCGGTCCCATGTGTCAGTTTGTAGGTAAATGTCGCCCCACGGATATCGACTTCGTAGACCTTACCTCGCTCGACGTCGCGGAACCGCTGGGACTTCCGAGAGTTTGAAGACAGGGGAATCTCGCATCTCAACTTCCACTGCATCCCAATCAACCTCTGAACGCGCCAAGGGCGCTGGGACAGGGCAGGCTTTTAATATTATCGTATCGTTCTTCTGCGGGATCAACTGTAAGCAAAGACGCGGGCGCATCAGGTAGGACTCCAGATCCTGCAGGGGAGCGACTGACGTCGACAGGAAAAGTGGTTCGCAACGGGGGTCTAGTAGCGACAAAAGCTTCGCCCAGGACTGTTGAATATAGAGAATGATGCATTGGTCCATCACGGATTGCTTTCGATCAGGATGCGCCGGGCTCGGAGAGTTGTCGAACAGAATGAGGTATTCGGTGTCCATGACACTCTCAGGCAGCCTAACCATGAAACAAAGATACGCCGCCTGTAAGGCGCCCTGGAATGCGACATGACTCAGAGCGCTTACTCTGGCTCGAAGCCTAGAGTCTATTGGGCGGAGGTGTTCATCGCGTGGGGCGTGGAAGCACACATGACCTGATTGTGAGCGATCGAATCAGCCAGCTGAGCTGCAAGTCGAGGCGGATTGATGGGCCGTTACACCACTTACCCCACGTATGTTGCTCACCAAATCCAAAAAATTTCAATCTCAAGTCGCGAGGGCCGCGCACTCGCCCAGCAGGGATGGGTTCACTGTTGGCCGAATCACACCCGCCAGCCTGCTTGTCAGCCTCGTCATGTCTGGGACTGCCAGGCGGCCGGACAGGGGATTCGGCCTTTCTTGCCATTGCGACAGGGCAGCAGTTGGAACAGAGGAAGGATCAGGCGCTTGGATTCTTCCAATTGGGAGGGACGAATGATCAACCTCGGCGGTGAAATTGGCTGAGGCTGTCTGTAATGGATAAATAGCGAAGAAAAAGATGATACGCTTGTATCACTAAGCAGAACGGCTGGTTATAGGCTTCTTAGACTTGCTAAGATATGTTGGAAAGAGCAGTTGAAGAGATAAGAAGACATCTTCGTGGTGGACCGCGATTAATTGTGTGCTAAATTGTAGCCATTAATCATAAACAGGAAGAGATGTTTGTCCCTTGTCCAAGCACATTGCCACCTAAACAACCCGTAGCTAAAAGAGGACCGGAGGCGAGGTTGTCGGAAAGCACAATGTGAATCAGATGTACAGTATCTTCTTGGACTGTCTCAAGGAAGACGATACATGACCATGATCTATTCGGGAATCATGGCCACTTTGTCTTCCCAACTTGGCCTAGTCAGCCGCTGCTTTTGCTGATGGCAGCACCGCACCCTAATTAGCCAGGTGCAGTCACCGCCCCCGGGTAATCTATCCGACCCGTTTGATGGCTCAATGACTGCCATTGTCGTGCCGGGCTTTGTCGAGTTTGATCATCTCTTCTCGGACCGATTAGCCTCGAAAGTTCGCCGAGCAACACCGAAAAGAGATCCCGACTTGTGCCTAGATTCGATCAAGGGGAATGCAATTAGGCTTGTGCAACCTGTACCTGACAGCAAACGGCCGTGGCTACACGGCCACTGTTCTTTTGTTGATTGGATCTAAGCTGGCTACCAAGGCACGAGAATTGGACCAAGCTACCGCGCAGGCTATTCGGGGTTGCATATTGAAGGCACGGATTTACCCGGGGTACGTTACACAAGTGGAGTCTGGTAAGATAGCCGACGTGAAACATGGTTGGGGAAAATAGGGGACTTGATCGAATATTCACAGTGCTTGTAGTAACTATAATATTTCCCTGATCTTAGGGTCAAGGTGGCCAACCCTTTGATACCCAGCGAATAGGGCTTTTACCCAGTTGCCCTGGGTGCGGTCGCTTCAAACTTAGCTTTCTGAGGCGGTACGAAAGTTCTGGAACCAACCGTCCAGATTTACTGGAGGGTTGATTATACTTTCAAGCGAGCGATGCAAAGATTTAGCCATTGAGGACACTGCAAAGGTCATAGGAAATGATTTCCACATGATACTGCGTGCTGATAGAACGGAAAAGGACAAGAAGGTGTTCCCGAATTGGCCAAATGAGTGGAGCTAAGCACCAACCCCTTACATTTGAGGGACCATTATATCTGTACATACATATGCGCGGATCTAGGGGTACAAGATTGTAGAAAATCACAGTGACATACAAGCAGGTTTGTCAATGTAACAGCATTGACATAACCCTGATTTCTGGATCAAGCTGCAGTCACTTCCTTGGCGACAACGACAACGTGGTCATTCACGTAGATGGCCATCACCTTCCCCATGAACCTGTTGCATCCCGGCAGTATAAGTATCAACGCCCCCCTCACGGGTATGCTCGATTGCAAAACTCGCCCAAGGCTGTCGGCCACTCGTTCCTAAGGCACCCCCAACAGTCGCAGCATCGGCTGATGCCCATGGCCCTACCGCCTCGAAGCCAAACCAGCAGCGCCGGGCGCTCGACGCCGCACAACCTCAATGTGCTCCAGCGCCGGTACCACGCAGATTTTTACAAGACCGTCGCCAAGGTGATGGCACTGCGCGAGACCTACCTCCAAGAGCGAATAATCTTCGTCAAAAGCCGCGAGATGGTGCCGATCCTTAAGGGTCTCGGCGCAAGAGAAGAGGACTTTGATCTCATCCAGAAGATCAGCGACACCACCGGTCCCGATCCCACGCTCGAATATCGCACCGTGACCTCCGCGCGCTACTGCCTCGACTTTGAGACGCGATGCATCCAGCGCCTGGAGAAGCGGCCCTGCGGCCCGAAGACAGAGGAACCCTATAAACGCTACGATCCAGGCGTCCAGCGGGAGTTCGAGGAGGCACCGCTCGAGATGCAGGGGAATACAGTCGTCCAGGCCCTGATTCTCTTCAAGGCGTTAGTCTTCCACAAGGTACCTATAATGCCTCGCGAGAAGTTGGACTACACGTCGCATCAATGGATTTGCACCGTGCTCAACGTGCGCATCTTCACCGACGATCGCCAGGGGGTCCAGGGCGAGCCGGCCCCCGGTGGCGTCCACTCCGATGGGTCGGACCACACCATGACTGTATTTCTAGGATCGTCCAACATGCGCTCGGACAGCGCAGTCACATACCTCCACGATAACCTGGAGACGACAGGGGCGCCGCTGTGGGAGACGAATCCCGCCCTGATCCGCGCGCGGGTGCAGCATCGCGACTTTCTTGACACGTTGATTTTCGCCGACAACCACTACAAGCGATGTGTCACGCAACTGAACGCATGCGACCCGTCCGACCGGGCATTGCGCGATATGTTGGTCATCTTTACACGTCGACCGAAGCGCGACGACCATGGGCTGGGCCACGCAGAGACTCAGGCGCTGCATACCACCTGTCCGCTGCAAATCCCCCTCTGGCTGCCATGAGCAAGCCTTTGAGATACTTTGTCTTTCCCTCGTACCAGTAGCTGCGAGAATATGGTTCTTTTTCTGTTTGTTTGTTTGCTTACCTTTCTTTTGCCGCAATATCTATACCACTATCCGCCATTACTAGCAATTGATATCCTTCCACGGCCTGATTCGATTCAAGTGCGTAACTAGTCCAACACACATGACAGCGCCGTTTATGTTCTCTCCGTGCTGGAACCATGTACCCCGAGCGTTGAGGGGTAGAGAGCCCCGACATCGCGCCTTGCATGAACCTTGCTCCAACAAGACACCGGATACACCGCCACATGCCTCGAGTTACCCCTTTCGGCTTCCAGAGCTCCTTACAATATCAAGCAAGGTGATGATTCTCAACTTTGTTACAAAGGTGTCATTCCATGGTCGGCACACCTGAGTTCGGTTGCATAAAAAGAGATAAGAAGTGGTCAACTGGTTCTGTTTGCCTTGTCCGCAGGCGCGCTATTGGCCAAGCGTCCTCCATCGATGCCTTCCATTCATGATTTCCTCAATCTCAAATAATCCAAGCGAGGAACGACTTGCCTCTATGGGCGTCTGTTCCGTGCGCCCACAACTCTTGAATGCATTGTAATTCAAGCTCTAACTGTTGCGATTTACTCAAGCTTTCAAATCTTCTAGTCTGCATGTCAGGCCTGCATTGCTACTTAACCTACTCATCGCGCAAACCGAAGATATCAGGGGCAGTAGCTCTTTCCGTTGCATGACCACTGCGGGCAGTAGATTTGATGCTTCGTCTGTTGCACTTCCGTGTCTATCGACTAATTTCTAAAGCCCTTCTTAGATTAGACACTACTGTACAAATCCCCGACAAATCCAACTGAAGCCAATCACGGATACCATTGCGACAAAAACATACCGGGCCAGTCAAAAGACGAACCTTGCAAATCGGAGATGAATCTATGCAGAGGCGGGGAATGCTGCAGCTTTGTCCGAGAAAATTGTCTCTCTCTCCACAGTTCGTACTACATAGCTCAAATTCGATATAGAATAAACTTTAGAGCACCGGTGTACTGGTATACGCTGTGAAAATGAACATTTCCACCGTTGGTGTCCCTTCTGTAAAAGAAATAGATTGGATCTGTACGGAACCGATGCTCTTGTACTCAAGAATAAAAGAGGGCCGATGTTGCCAATGGGACGCAAGCCTCGAAGCTAGTCCTACGGATGCCTTTCTTCAAGCTGAATTCCATTAGATATACTCCAATGGCTTGTTTATCATAATTGGTAGACACACATATGCTCCATGATGCGGAGAGAACAGGCATACTATACCTATAGTACCTAAGCTGTAATGATTGATCACTGTATTATATAAAAGGTAGACAGCTGTTATAAGGTGATTGTACAGCCCACGGTAGTTAGCGTATGCAGTGCCTGCGTAACCTTATTGTTCACTGACTCGTAGTGCCTAAGCGAGAACTATGAATGCATAAGCTAAAATCACTACACTCTAAGCGCACTGGGCCTGATAGAGTTCTGAAGCAGCTGATGATCCGCATCTTCCGCTGCGCCACTAGAGAAAGTCCATGCTCCTTATCTTAATCACTATCACTCGAGTCTCCATCCGAGTCCTTGTCCGAATCACTGTCCTCACTCTCTTGTGCATCTGAAGAACTGCCATGGGCCGTGGAGCTCGCATCTCCATTGCCTCCGCCCTCCGCCTCAGGTTCCGCCACATACTCCTCTTCTGCCGCCGTCGACGAAAAGGCATGTCCATCGTGTGTCTTGTGCCTTGTGAGGAAGCATTTATAACAGAAGTCGAAATCGAAACAGACCTGACACTTGTGGCGATAGCCGTAGAGACCCTAATAAGGCATTAGCCAACGTCATCAATAGTTCGGAAGCGCAAGGTCATAACATAGGCGAACGGAAAGGGGAAGGGGCGTACCATGAAGCAGCCGTCACATGTCCCATTAAAAGAAGCGGCCACGCGGCTGAAATGAATGCCAACATTCTCAAGAGCGTCGGGCAGAGGATGTGCGCTTTGATACGCCTCTTCAAGCAGTCTTACCACGTTGTCGGAATGGCCGTGGTACCGAGCGATTTTGGCCGCTGACCACGTCCGTCCGAGCCCCACCCACTGTACACAGGGGTTAGCACCGCGGTTGAGAAGCGTGGAGATGATCTCTTCCTGCCCACTCGCAGTGGTGCTTCGGCTGAGGCGGTTCCAGCCGCGTGCAGCCCACATCAATGGAGTCCAGCCGTCGTCGTCGGAAGCATCCAACAACTCGCGCGAGAGGCTGAGAACTCTTTCGACTAGAGCGGTCGACCCGCTGAGCATAGCAAAATGCAGGACCGTGCGGCCCACATGGTCTCGCGCCTCAATGTCGCCGCCCTGCTCGAAGATGAGGTCCAGATGACCGACAGAGTTGGCAGCCGCGAGGTGCATTGCAGTCCGGCCCTGGATATCCGGCTGATCAACGCGGGCGCCTTTATCGAGCAGGGTGGTAGCGATTTGTAATGGCGCTGTGACACAGATCCAGCTCAGCAGAGAGCCCCGCATGCTCCCTGTTCTGTTGACATTCAATTGCTCCAGGCTCAGTAGATAGTTGCAAATCTTGCTCTGATGCTCCCACTCCCCGAAGGGGCCGCGGTAACCTGCTTGGTGCAGAGGCGACCCGCTCTGCGGATCAACCAGGTTGATATCCGCACCCGCATCGACCAGTAGCTTCACCATGTCTAGGGACGAGTCCCAGCAGGCATAGTGCAGCGGACCACCCCGGATGGAACCCACAGTGTTCAGCTCCGCCCCGCGGGCGAGCAAATATTTGACCAAAGCAGCATTCTCATGACCGACCGCGCACATCAGCACCGTCAAGCCTTTACGATTGCGAGCCTCGAGGTCTGCGCCGGCGTTGATCAGCGGCCGGACGGTCTCTATACGCGTAGTTGGTGAGATGTACATGAGAGGCGTGAACCCTTCCTGCTGGGCGTGATTCATATCCGGGCGGAATTCCAGCAAGAGCTGAACGAGGTCAGGATTGTCGAGTCGTACCGCATCATGCAACGGTGTCTGCCCCTTGGATCCTTGGGGATTGACATTGGCGCCAGCTTCCAGGAGCAAACGTACCGAGTTGAGCCGCTCTTTCTTCACGGCGCACCCCAGCGCCGTGTATCCATTGTAGGGATCATCTCCGTACTGCACTTCGAGGTCGGGGCCAAACTCCAACAGTGTCCTCACATTCTCCGTCTGATCGTAGGTAGCACTCAGTGCCAACGGTGTCCAATTCCAAGCCACAATATTGGGATTGGCCCCTTTCTCAAGCAGGGCCCGAGTGGCTTGCGGCTGCGAGTAACCGATGTGTAGAGGTGTCCAGCCCGCTTCAGAGATTTGATTCAGGTTCGCCCCGTGGTCACACAGCAACCGAATAACCTCCGCATGCCCTCTTTCAGCCGCCAGGTGAAGGCCATTGCTATTGCCCTGATCAGATAGCGTCGCCTGTGCCCCCTTGCTGATGAGGTAATCAGCCACTTCCACATGTCCCGAATAGGCAGCCCGCAGCAATGCCGTCCGATTATAAGACCCCAGCGCATCCACGGGGTGGCCAGCCTCCACAAGCAGCTTCACAAGCTCTAGTTTGCCAGCCCCGGCTGCCTCAGGCAGAGGAACAACTTCATTCTTTGCCACATGCGGATTGGCCCCGTGTTCGAGTAGGAGCTTAGTAATGTGGTCGTGACCCTTGTAGATGGCGAACTGCAAGGGGCTCCAATTGACCGACCCAAAGACATTGGGGTCCGCTCCGCTTTCGAGAAGCAATCGTACGCTTTGGACGTAGCCTTGGTCTGCGGCGGCTGCTAGAGGCGTCCAGCGTACATCGCCGTGTTTGTCCAATTCCAACTCAGAGTGTTTAACCAGCTCCTGCACAACATTGTAATATCCCCATTGGCAGGCCCGACATAAAGCCGACTGCCCGTCATCGCCACCCAAGGCATTGATATCTGCCCCGGCCGCCAACAGAAGTCTCACGGCTCCAACATGTCCATGCGCGGAGGCAACATGCAGCAGTTGACGTCTCCTTGAATAGAGACGGTCAGCGATGGCCCCTCTGCCAAGAAAGAACTTGAGACTGTCCAGATGCCCCCCTGCGGCGGACCAGAAAACCGCTGAGTGCAGATAGATATCCCCCTCATACTCGTACGTGCCGTGAAGTGCAGCGCCTGCATCGACAAGTTTGGCTAGAAGGCTAGTCGAGTTCAGAGTGGCAGCCCGAATGAGGATAAAGTCGGGCCATTCGAACGGCGACTCAGAGCTAGTTGACCGAATGATATACGAGACCACCAAATTGATGACGTCTTCATCAGCAGACCAGTTGGCTGCCCAAAGAATGTCATGCTTCTGCGCACTATTCATGGTACAATGGCTCAGTATCTCCTTCAGCAGATCCCTTTGTCTGTATCGCGCAGCCTCCCAGGCCGTCGAGACTAATGTGTTCATATCGTTGGTGTATTCCTCTGGAAATGAGCTTGTATTCTCCAATACCCATGTATGCAGTCCCATGCCAACCATGAACGGCAATACCGAGGCGTGGATTCGGTCGGATCGCTCGAAGAGATTTGATGCAGCCCACTGAGCAACAGCAATACGTCGATAAGACAAGGGATCGGCCAAAATTTTCTGGACCTGAGACTTCATAGGCTGATCGAGCAGCACAAAGTCGAAGTGTCGCTTCAGACTTAGTGCAGCATAGTGCGCGAAGTTGAACTCTGTGTCCGAAAATCGAGCATTCTGCATCTCAGGGGTAGTCCAACGCTTTTGCCCTTTCTTCGAATCCTCAAACGCGGTCGATGAAAGGTATTTCAAGCACGCTTGCGCCATTCTCTTACTACTCGTGTTGATGGAATAACCAGACTCAAGTCTGTGCAGGACCAATGAGAATTGAGGATGTGCAGGCCAAGCCTCTTGATACCTGACTACTAGGAGGCCACCAAAGAGGTCTTCCAGTGTCTCGCGGGATATTTCGAGCTGGTTGTCCGAGGGGTCAGACAGTGATACTGCGCGGCGCAGCTCCCACATAGTCAGAGGCCGCAGTGCGCCATTTACCCAGAGGAGTATCTCCTCAATCAACTTCCGCTCCCTGAAATGGCTTTTGATCTCGCTGATGATGTTGGCGGTGGCTTTTTCTATGTCTCGGATCCCGGACGACAGAAGCCCAATGGCATTTCTGACTTCGCTACCGCTCAAGACACCTTTCCTGCGTCGCAGACGTCCTAGGACAAACTCACGCCAGTCTAAATCGTGGCTGGAATCGAGTATTCTCTCTTGATTGCGACGTGAAGTATTTCGTAAAAACGGGTATTGTCGCACCAGGTCTTCGAGCGCGGCATTCCTGTCTGCCTTGCGTCTTTCTTTCACGATCCTTTGGGAAGAGTTATCAAGGTCGACGGTAGGCCAATCCGACAGCCTCTCTCGCAGCGGATTATCTGTCACAAAACTCTGAGTTATAATCGCATATTTGGTACAGCATTCATTCGCGCTAAATAGCTCATCGACCAGCATCACAAAGCGTAACAACGGCAAGCGGCACTCTTTCGCATTGGTGATGATGCACCAGACGGTCTTGTCTTCTGAGTACGTGACAAGTAGTCGGAAGCATTGCAACAGCTCCGCCTCCGTACAGCTGTGAAAATGGATCATGCGTTCCAAAAGCGCGCTGGCTGGTGTGACCATGTCTGCATTGTGCCGTAGCAGCTGTGAGACAAGTGACCGAAGCATGGCGTGGAACATTTCTAGTGAGCCGTCATATCTATCGAAACGGAAATGGAGGACCGTATGCTTGCTCGGGTCATCAGGCTTCACCTTCTCGCGCAAATGGCTGAGGATTTGGTCACCTGCGAGATGGGATGCAACTGAGCCATGGATGTAGACCCTAGCTGAGCGCCTTGGTACCAACCAGTCCTTCAGAGTCGGGTGGTCGATGACCCAAGCATAAGGGTTGAATGCTCTCGACACCCATCTGCTTGGATACAGTGGCGGCTCTATGGATACTATGTGCGACCACCAATCGCTCACCCTGACCGCTTTACGGAAAGACTCTGTGGTACTTGAGTATGCAAGTAACTCACACCGAACGTGCTGGACATACCTTTCGCCGATCCAGATATCCGATCTTCGATCTTGCGGTAGATGGCATCCTCCTTCTGAAGACGGCAAAGCTCACTATGAGATTTCGAAGACGCCAAGTTTATTTCGTATGGTAGACCGATCGTTGCTGTCACTTGGTCAAAGATCTAGTGATAGTCAGCATGAGTGTCAGTTACTGAAACCACAGAAAAGATCAAGTTCCAGATAGGGCACCTTAGCAGCACTATTGGTTGAATATATACTGATGATTTCCATAGACAGCGAAGCCTGCAGTCCTACGAATGTCGCATTTAGCTCCTCAATGCCCTCTCCTAAGGCTGCAATGTCTTGCAAACAGAGATTGCCAGAGGGAGGTCCATGTTGGAACACGAGAGGCAGCAGCTGATCTGTCATGCTGCCATCATAGATCGATTGATGAGGACATCCGAAAAAAACCTACACATGTCAGATTCTGACCACTGCAGTGTCGGGCTCAGGTTGTACCAGAGCACGAGTATATATAGACAACCAGTTATAGTTTGTTCTTTCCAAGAATGTGATGCGCAAGGCCTCTTTGACAATGACCCCCCCGATGTCATGCGTGATGAACACGATGGGGCGAAAAGGGTCCTGGAGCGATGTTAATATACGACCGGGGCAAAGTCAAGCACTAAGCGAGCACACACCGCGGGATCGTCCTTTACTTTCTCATACAGCTCGTTGATCAATAGATCTGCCAAATCGTGAATGGCAGTCATGGGTGATTTGTTGAGGCTGTCTAGCTTTAAGGAATATCCGAAACTGTAGATTCGTGCTACTGGTGGATTCCCAGCAAGACCCTCGGTCAGCCAGGTTGGCTTGCCATCCTCGTCGGTCGGACTAGCCCAGGACTTTTGCTGATCTCCATGGAGTCCGTGAACCAAGACAATACTAGGTGATTTTGTCAGCGTTCAGAGTTCGACAAGATTAACAAGGCAGGGAAATCGTACTCATATTGGCCCTCGGTCGGCTCTAGAAGAGCTAACATGGGTGGTTTGACTTCTGGGGAGTCTATACCCTCCTCACTCACTGTCGATGCAACTTGTTCGGGATCTTCAAATGTCTCTGCCCCAGGGTCTTTTTCTAGCCGTTTACCGCCCGACTCGGAGCCTGAAGTGGACGAGCTAGATGTGGTGCTTTGTTCATCGTCAGAGCTGGCAATCGACCCGTGGTCGGACATGGCACTAGAAGAAGCAATAGGCCTGATATGTCAGCAGCTGAGGATAAACTGTTCAATATGTGCGAAATTCGACAATCTAGGAGATCTAAGGTGTTGTGAGCAAGACTGTGTGCATTTTCCCTGTTTCAAGCGGGTGCGTGTCTCGAAGCTGGCAATTAGCCGGTGGTTCCCTTGGTGCGTTTGGGCCGAAAAGAAGGGGTGCATAAGAAGCGTGGGGTCACCCACAAATTCCTGCTTATCTTGCTGCATCTCACTTTTACTAGAGACACCTTGAAACAAAAACCTTACATGAGAATGGGTGATACAGCAATTGAGCAAGACCAGAATTTCGACGGGGATTTCGAACCTGGCGATAACAGCCCTGATTTTCCTTCCGGCGGGCTAAGTTGGGATTTCGGATTGGCCCCTGCTGGAGACGCAGGCAGTTCGTTTCGCGTGCAGAATGACCCGCGTGCGCCTTATCAGCGCAGCAACGTGATCGAGCGTAAAGGTACAATCGACATCCGCTGTTCTTGTCTCGACGTGATTCATGGCATAATGAGCGAGCATGGAGACGAGCGATTTGCAACCCTGCTCGTGCTTGAATTCCGGTTTGACGTGCGGAAACGCGCCCGGCGAGTTGAAGGGGTCCAGATCGCCCTCGAATTTAAGGCTCGGGAGGCAGGCGAGGACGGTCCTGAAGTCTATAAGATCGCTCCAGATGGTAACTTCAGCCTTGTCCCCACAAACCAACGAGAAGAGATAAAGAGATCGATTGAGGGCCAAGCGGGAGCTACAGCACCGGTGGGAGGACTCAGTATCACCGGGACGGTCGGTTGGGAAAAGACCACCAGCCGCGAGACGGAGGACCACTGCACGGTGGTGGGATCGCGGGACTTGGTGGGCCGCAATTGGGGGCCGGCGAACAGCGCATCCTGGACGCTTTTGGAGAACTCATCCGCCAAGAGTGGCGTTCCTTCCTTGCTACACACCGCCGTTCTGCTACGGAGGGAGGATGAGCAACCATTCGAGTGTGTGGTGAAGCTCACGGCCGATGTTGTCACCGGTTGGCGGGAGCGGCTTTGGGGAGGCAAAGGACGAGTCCCTAAAGATGATCCGGTCCTTTTCGACCCCCTGCTGGACCCAACAAACTATTTGCAGGAATATGATGTCTACAATCTGGAACAGGTTGATTTGGAGGGGCTGTGCAGGATCACGCACAAGCGGCATTGGCAGGACGCACCTAAGCAGTAGTCCGTGATTATAGCCAATAAGACCACGACAAACGCAGCTGCTCTTTACCACATATGGTAACTAGGTACTATAGTCTCCCAAATGTAGGGAAATAGTGGATATAGAGTACCCCTCTCGAATGTCACAAGTACTGGCTGGGGATTGTTGCTTCTCCAGGATTGATTGGCTCAGGCAACATCGCGGCATGTTCGGTAGCAACCCGAGCGCTTAACTCAGAATTCTTGTGGTGTGCGAGTATTACCACGCGTGGAGTCATTGACACGCACTTCAACCGGGCGCCTGTCGCCCGCCCTGCAGCAATTATAGACCAAAGGATTCCCATTCTGGGCCGCCGTAGAACCGATCCTCGAACACCCCCTCTTCAAACGATCTTGTGAAATCTCACCTAGTCCTCCTATTGCTTCCCATGTTGCCCTTGAGCCCGCCCATTTCATCGGCAGATGACGAGCGCTTCATATCGCCTTCTCTGATAGAAATCTCGAAGTCGATCACAGTAAAGTTGCACAGTGACTCTGGGAGTGACGGGGATTCTGACGATAGCTCGGTAACAGAGTCTTTGAGATGCGTAAAGCGCCGTTTCGAAAATATTCGGGCCGCCCTGCGTAAGAAAACCATTTCTTTAAATGACCGCGATCAATTCCATCAATTTGTGCGGGACAACGAGGATATCTTGGACGGCATCGGCGAGAATGGTACTTTGCTTCATTATTTAGTTGAAGATGCCCGGGACAAACGCTTCACACGATACGAACCGTTGGTTGTATATCTAGTGCGGCATTATCCTGTGCTCCTGACCAGAAAAGACGATTGCGAACGAACCATTCTGCCCTGGGCTATCCAAAAGAGGCGCCACGACCTTGTCCATTGTATATGTGACCATCATCCACAAATTGGCGAAGTAATTGCTATTCAGGGCCTGAAATCACAGAATTGCCTGCATGTGGCCATACAAGAAGGGGTCAGGTCAGCTCTGATCCTTGAACTGGTGAAATTGGCCAGCTTGGAAACCTTTCTGGCTCTGGACAATGAAGGCAACACGCCTCTCCATCACGCGGTTGCATACGAGCGGTGCACGGAGGCTGGACTGCGTGTTGTCCAAGCGCTGCTCAATCGATGCGATAAGGCAGTAGATGCCCAAAGCAGCACCGTGAGGCGATTGTCTCCCTACCTTTACCATCTGTTCACGCGGGCGGAAGCCGAAGCCAAGGAGTCTGCAATGCAAAACATAGAGCAGCACTTGTCTCTGGGGGTCAAAGATGCCAACGTGCTCTTTTCAAGTCCCATACATACAGCCTTGACTGACCCTGGGCAAGAAATATCTCAGCAATATCAATTGGGAATGTCTCAACAGAAGACGTTGAATGGCATCAACCAGCCCGCTAAGAGCCATCCAGGGTATACAGGAGACCCAAGCTTCGCGAAGTCATCAACAGCAGAGAGGACATCTCTGGCTCTAGACGATTCAGCCAACCCCCCAAAAGACGCAGACAAGAGGCACAAGGAGGCGTTTGGCGCGAGGCCAGATGAGAGGTCGATTGTGACTCAGCAAACAGCGGATGCAATTCGCGATTATCTGAAAGTCCATTGTTTAAGGACGCGTGATCATGACCAGGCAATTGAGCTTCTATACGGACAGGACACACGTGAGTATTTCGTGTTGTTCCTAAACCTTACTATAAAAAACATTTGCTAAAAATGGATTTAGACAGGGAGCTATACTTTGATCTGTGTGGTTCATCATCACGGTATATCGATGAGGAATGGATCAATCGTGGGTTGGACTACCTATGTTTTGATAACATGTTGCAATATGTCGCGCTTCCTCAACTTGAGTTGACCAAAAAACAGCAGGCTAGCAATTCACGCTTCGCGCGAAGAAAGAATATGCTCCCTGATGGCGATGGTCGACGCGACATGGTATTCATATTTGACTTTCTGCGAAAAAAGGGAGTATCACGAATTCTTCGCGTCATAGTCGACGACATTCTGTACCCTGCTCATAGCGACGAGGCGATTGAACAGGCTATAAGAGGCTTCGGGGTCGAGGTTTGGGATTGGCGCAAGATTGACATCTCTCTGGACACGATCATGGACGTCGCATTGGATGTTAGGGAATTGCATCTGTACTCGAATGGGAACAACGCGGTACTGCGTGGCTGGAGCGATCACGGTGGTCTCGCACAGTTGAAAAACCTCCAGACTGTTTATTTGCACATGAGTCAGGTATACCAAATTACTTCCATTTTGGCCAATGACCACCATACTTACTGGTCTCAGGGCCTTGAAACTGTCGAGCGAAGCAGGCGAAATATAAATCAATTTTGTAACAGGCTAGCCGCACTACGACCAGACATACAGGTTCAGCTGGAAGAACGACTTCCAAATCAGTATACCGACCAGACAGGCAGCTTTGCGGAAGGAGCCGGAGAACGCGACGAGCATCCTCATCGGTGGATCACTTGCATGGACAATTTTGCGGACTTCATTCAGAATATCCGTACGCCGGTTGGTTCAATGGAGGATGTCAGAGTGGCGCTGATCGATGACGGGGTCGATATTGAGGAGAAAACGCTGCGTGGTAAAATCGTCGGCGGTCGCAGCTTCTCTTCGAGAGACCATGCCCAAAATTTGCAACAACCCTTCTATGTGTCAGGGAGTGGGCATGGGACGGTCATGGCGAGTCTCATCTGCCGAGTGTGTCCCACTGCTAAGCTGTTCGTGGTAAAAGTGGCTGAGCATGTCAGCGCGAGCTCAGGCCGCCAGATCTCAGCTAACAGCGCGGCTAGAGCGGTTCGTGCAGCAATTGATCAGAAAGTTCATGTCATCACCATGCCTTGGACAATCCAACGCAACGAACAGAATGCAGCCGACATTCGTGATTTGGAAGCCGCCATCGGGGCGGCTGCCAAGGCGGGCATCATGATGTTTAGTGCCGCCAGTGATCAAGGTCCGGCCATAGATGTCACCTTCCCTGCTGCCTGTGTGACTACCAAGAATATCTTCAAGATTGGCGCTGCAGAGGCTTCTGGCACGGTATGGAAGTGGGTGGGAGACGCGGCGGCGGTTGACTTCATCTTTCCGGGCCACGAAGTGATCAAAGAGCGACCCAACGATGCGCCGATTGATAAATGTCAGACTTTGACAGGATCATGGGTGGCAACTGCAATTGCATCCGGATTTGCAGCAATGATTCTGTATTGCGTGCAGCTCAGCTTCGTGCAGACACGGGCTATCAATCAACCTGGCAAGGTTGATCATTTCGAGGGTCTTCAGCATCATGAGCGCATGCGCGAGGCCTTCTTAGCGATTGGTACAACTCATAGTAGTGGCAATAAGTATATCGAAGTGTGGAATGTGTTTGAGAAGGCCGTGGATAAGAGCCAGGGAAAGCCGCCAGACCAATTCCCAGCTATTGTCAATGAGGTTGCCAACAAGCTGAAGGCCAGGAAGATGCTGGAGTGAGATAGGCTCTAGCACCAAGCATTCGGATTGAGGTGACACTTCAAGACTAGAATTGATTCCCGATGATATGCTCGTATTATGGTGCTCGTAAGTTTATCCAAGGGGTTTTGGAACAATTGGTCGAGCTGGTGTTGTGATTGATGCTTGTAGGAGAGAAATCAATCCGGAAGAAAGGCGAAAGGTAACGCATCATGTGATCAGGTCACAAAACAAACAATGTCTTCAGTCTGGTCACAGCTTCCATCTGATATCTTCTGGATCTTATGTTTGATCTGTTGAAATTAGACTGTTACTCATTCTAGTCCAAATCATGCCAAACCAGCCATCCTTCAACTTTCACAAGTGGCTGCAGGAAGCAACTGACTTACGAAAGGCTTTCAATGTATGCGAGACAAGTATCAAACTCTCCTTGCCTTGATTATGCTCTCAAGGGTTTATCTTAAAGAATCTTCGACTGCTAGGATTCAATAGCTCGGGGTGTATAGTCGCGAGGGGATTATTTTCCCAATTTCAAGTCAAACGGCTTTGAAACAGTCAATGCAAAAGAGAAATGAGTCTTAAGAAGTGATGACCAAAAGAGCTCTACTGAATGTAGACTGAGTGAGTGACTCTTGCATGAGTTTCTACTGCATTATGTCTGGATGTACATTATGCAACCATACAACAAAAAGTCACGGGTTACTTCTCACGGCCCAAACTAGCGGGAACCCATCTCTCAGTCGGCAACTACTTAAACCACTTACCTATTCTTCTTCTCCCCTTTCTCTTTCACCTCCCACCTCCCACTTCTTCTCAATTGATTAAACGCCAACCATAGTATTGCGTGCCCCGCACCAAAAGCACGCCATGCCCGCGCCGAATCTCCGATGGCTAACTGGCGATAACCCGGACGCTCCAGCAACGGGGCTCTCGTTCACCATGCCATGGCCTAGAGGCCGATACCAGCCAAACCAGAAATTTTCAATCGAGACAAACAACAAAACCTATCCGCTTGATAGCCGCGAGCTTGCATACTGGGCGGACGGATCTCTGAAATGGACGGCGCATTCCTTCAGTGGTTATATCGGTTATAGTAGCGAGTATACCGTGAGGGCTGCGACCGAGCAGGAGATAGAATCTCGGATACAGGTTAAGACAACTCCTGAGCATATTATCGTCTCCACAAAGATCGGATTGAGTGTGCGATTTCCAACTCAGGGTTCTGCGACATTATTTGAGAACATTTCTCTGGATGGAAAACAAGTGTGCTCCGCCGCTACTGTCGTCGCGTCGATCAACAACCAAGAGTATACAACAGTCGTACACAGGACCGTCATTGAGAACCTCACCTGGGCGAGAGCAGTTGTCAAAGTTTCTGGAACTGTGGAACATGAGGGAAAAGAGCATCTACCATTCACTGTGCGAGTATACACCTACTCTGATGCGCAGCCGCTCAAGGTCGTGTTCTCATTCATCCATGACCTTGACTCAGAGGAACCGTTGACCTCACTCGGTCTCAGATTCTCGGTACCATTTCGCGAGACTGAACACTACAACCGTCACATTCGTTTTGTAGGTCCCACAGGAGGGATTCTGAGGGAAGAAGTCCAAGGTCTATCAGGCTTGTGGCATGGCCCGGGCGTGCAAAATCGCGTCGACCAGACCTCAGGTAAAGCCATTACCCTTACAGATGCCTCATGGCTATCTTATGTTCCCTCCTGGAACGACTTTACCCTCAGTCAGTTATCTTCCGACGGGTTCACGCTAAAAAAGCGAACGAATGAAGGCTGTTCATGGGTAAAGGTGATAGGGGGGAGCAGATACCCCGGCACTGCATACATTGGCTCCGCAAAGCGCGGTGGCCTGGCGGTGAGTATGACCAATTTCTGGGAGCAATACCCAACCCAAATCGATCTCAGCAATTTGACCACCGACCAAGCATCGACAACGATATGGATGTACTCACCTCTGGCAGAACCGTTGGATACGCGTCCATACCACGACGGACTCGGTCTGGACACCTACGAGAAACAGCTCACGGCCCTCAAGGCTACATACGAGGATTACGAGCCCTGCTTCGGTACAGCCAACGGGATCGGCCGAACGGCAGTCTTCATCCTTCGACCATACAGCAACGGGACCCCATCCGACAACGACCTAAGCGCATTTTCAGCTCTAGTCCGTGACCCTCCTCGCTTGATTCCCACACCAGAGACCATATACAATGCTGGGGTGTTTCACGGCACATGGGCCCCTGACACTCGTCTCCTTGGCCTCATCTCAACAGCCACTGAACTAAACATCGAACACAATCTTGATACTTTGTTCACCCACTACCAGCGCCAGGTTGACCAACACCGCTGGTACGGCTTCTGGGACTACGGCGACGTGCAGCACACGTATGACCCCTACCGACACGCGTGGCGCTACGACGTCGGGGGTTTTGCCTGGGACAACAGTGAACTCTCCACGGATCTATGGCTGTGGCTGTATTTCCTGCATTCTGGGCGGGCGGATGTCTTTCGTATGGCCGAGGCCATGACGCGACATACGAGCGAGGTAGACGTATACCATTCCGGCCGCTTCAAGGGATTCGGAACGCGTCATGGGGTGCAGCATTTCAGCGACAGTTGCAAACAGCTCCGGATCTCCAACGTGCTGTATCGACGGTTCTACTATTTTTTGACCGGGGACGAGCGAACGGGAGATCTGATCACTGAACTTCAGGACTGCCAGCTTGCGCTGTTGGGCCTTGACGCTCATCGGAAAGTCCAGCAGCACGGTGCCATTCCAGAAGGGTTTGCCCTGACGGACATCTGTCTTGACGGGGGCGCGTTAGCAGCGTCGTGGTTTACCGCATGGGAGAGACGGGGGCCAGAATGGTTGGATGGTCGAGATCGTCTTTTGAACATTCTTGAGGGCATCGCGAACTTAAAATATGGAGTCGCTACGAAGGCAATTCTACTCCACACTAAAACTGGAGAAGTGCGCACATGTCCGCCTCCCACGCGACCGTATGTCATCTCGCATTTGTCAATGTTGTTCGGCTTCCCGGAACTAGTATCGGAACTCGTCGACTACGCTGAAAGTGAACATCCCGGCACAGTGGATGCGTTCTTGAAGGTTTACTTGGCTTATTGTCGGGCTTACAACGGCGGAGCGGATGTTCAACGCGAGGAGTACGGATTCGAGTTCCCTGCTACAGCCACATGGCGACAGAGCCACTCTACGCTGACTGCATTCGCGGCGAGGCGCGGTGATGACGCTGAATTAGCTCGCGCAGCTTGGCAACAGTTTCTCGAGACCGACGGGTATACCAAAGACCACGAGTGGACAGTGACGCCGACAACGGCGCCAACTTATTTCTCCGACGGTGAGGAGGCGCCCTGGATTACGACAAACGAGGCGGCACGTTACGGTGTGTCGGCTATATTCAATCTCGCGAACATTCGCAGGCACCTCGACTAGCTGCCGTCTTTGCCATGGGTCTAGCAGTCTATCACCATTCCCGCGCGTTGTGTTCAACCCTCGATCAACATCAGAACTATAGGCCCATAACATCATTCCAACTCGTCCATACCAACTAGTGTCCCATATAACAGGCTTCTTAATCATCATGCCGCTTCACCCTCGCAAACACCGCTCCAGAAATGGTCAAACAGATAAACAGCATCACAAAGACAATCGCAACCATCCCACAACATTGTAACTTGTTCTGCCTCTGCTCTCGTCGGGCGATAATCCGCTCGCAGGCCTCGCAGTGCTCATGGGGCGTGGTAATCACCGAGGTGACTAGAGGGATATTGGATGTTGGATCGGTGTCTCCGTGGCGGTGGGAGGGTGAGGGTTGCGATTCTAAGTCATCCTGGTCTGCTTGTGCGACTTCCGAATACTGTGGGGTCAGAGTCGGTGATGTCAGCCTGGCAGGGGTGATGGCGCTGGGGGCTTACTTCTTGGTACGGCGGGGCTGACTCGTAGGGTTGCTTTGAAACCATTCCGGGACTTGCTGGGGTGCTTGAGATTGTTGAAGATAAGACTAAGGTACAGATATCCGTTTTAAACGTCGAGAGCGCATTGCTTCTGTAGGATGGTAGATGTCCATTCTTATGTAGGAATCATGCTGCCTGGGGCGCAAGATGGAGGGTGAGATTGCACAGCCTCATCAGGCTCACCATCACCTGGTTGGCTGGCGTGGGATGGCTACGTCAGAGGACTCATTATGAAGGCTTGGCCTAGAATCACGGCGCCTGTGGCTATCTATCTTCCCAAAAGCTGTCCCAGAACACTCTGTGCAACACCGACACTGCAACTTGCCATCAAACCACCGGTCACGTGATACGGCACAAGCAGGACTTGATCCGCATGCAAGCAGTTATGTCCCACGCAAGAATGCTCATCACATTGATTATAACATTTCTCACAGTCGTTATCAACATGTAAATAATTCATAGCCGGAAAAAAGGTTGCCGGTATAATGAAAGAGATATTGAAGCACTCAAGAACAAAGACGGGCAACCGGTGCCATTGAGTGCGATTATTGGATGAGCCCTGCGTGTCCGTTCCGCGCTCTGCACCAGCCACACTCTATAGCATTGGGTCCTGGCCAGCACTGGCCGGTATCGGCATGTTGCGGCCGCATTAATTAAAATCGCACCACTATACAACCCTCCAGTCCATGACTTTGAGAACCAAATACGTTATTAGCCAAGAGGAGCTTATAGAGCCTGTCTCATCGTCTCGCAGGTCAGAAACATTTCCCAGAACATAGCATGAAATCGCTCCTATCCGCCAGTAGTCTATATTCAACTCTACCATCGATCTATGTGCAAGCCTATTTTTAGATCTATATCCAATCTATATCCGTCTATATACAACCTATATGCAACCCATATCGACATCACATCCCACCCCAAGAATCTCCAAAGACACCTCCATCCCCCCCCAACACCTCACCTTACCCCAAAACCCCACCCCTCTCCAACCACCCTCTCGCCTCCTCCCAAATCTCCTCCCTGACCCTCTCCCTCCTCGACCTCCTCCCCCTCGACCTCCCATGCGTAAACCCATGCCTACACCCCTTGGCCATCGTCCACTTATACCCGCCGACCTCAAACCCCTCCTCCTTGTCTCTTCGGCCTGCCAACCCCGCCAACCGGTGAATCATCTCCTGCGCCTCGACCCGCAACAAATCATACTCCGCGGCAACCATATACACCATCCCCGGCAGAACCTCGGCGGGGGCATACCACGGACTGAGGAGGGGATCCCTTCGATCCTGACCGGCACAGACATAGCCCCAATCGATCCACCAGCCGGCATCGCCCAGATGGTCGCGCCAGTAGTCCTCGTACGGCCGGGCGTGCATCTTATCCGGCGGGGAGTGGCTGAAGTCCACGATGGGGTAGTAGCAGATCGCGGCGCGGAACTTTCCGCGCAGGGATGGCAGCTGCGCGACGCCGAGCGCGAGGCTGGCGCCCGCGCTGAAGCCGCCAATCACTACGCGGGTGGGGTCGATTGGGAGGGCGGTATGACCCAAGAGGTCGAGAATCTGCGCTTCCACGTCGTGGATTGCGGTGGGGAACGGGTGCAGCGGGATCTTGCGGTAGTCCAGGCTCAGGACCAGCATGCCCGTGCGCTGGCTCCAGGAGGCGCAGAAGGGGTCGTCGAACCGCGCCGTGTTCACGGTGAAGCCCCCGCCGTGCAGGTCGATGTATGTGGGGAGGAGGGTCGGTTGGCCCGCGGTGTAGGTTGGCGGGTAGAAGATGCGGGTTTGCAGGGTCGGGCGCGATGGAAGATGCAGGGTTAGGGTTGGGTGTGTGCTGGGCGGGGGCGGGTGGATGAGGTCCTTGTAGATGGTGTGGACTGTGGCGATGAGTTTGAGGCCCCAGAGCCACAGGAAGCAGCAGATGCGGTGGTAGAGGGGGAGGAGGGCTTTTGGGAGGGGCTCCACCTCTGCTCGGTTTTTAGCTGTCATGACGGGGACAGGTTGCTTGTAGGTTCATTTGGGAACCGGAGACGGTGCCGGGGTGATTCAAGCTTTTTGAGGCCGGAGGTAGGCATGATGATTCTGGAGTGGGGATGCCCTAGTCGCTCTAGGTCGGACAGGCCGGTGGAGAGCGCGCTTTGCAAAACCTCATTCGGCTGGTTGGGAGTGGTCGGCGCATGTGGGTTTCAGGTCAACTGTATCGGCGGCTCAACATTTCCTGTGATAAATTTAGGCAGAATTTTCTGGGAAAAAGGGCCCTAAAAAGTGCAGTGGGGAATTTTGTTTGTTTTGCGGCGCGAAAGACCCACTTGTACGGAAGACCATCACTTGGGCAAAAGAGCGGCTCCACTTCGGGATTGCCATTGAAGTGACAGGCTGGGAGCAATTGCATGGTTAGATCGTCTTAGGAGATGTTGATATTGCCTGTAGAACTGGAATCTTTTCCCAAAATTAAATCAATGTTGTCGCTTCGTTGGTGCTACGAAGCCCAGCCATGGTGCACTGCAAAAGAGTGCCATGCTCCAGGGATATCTATGCTGCAAGAGTCAACCGACTCCACTGGAGCACCCATTGATCTGGTCAATCACCACGTGACCACTCTTGCCTCACGATTATCCATGTACTCACACATTCAATTCATGTTGAATCTAACCAAGCATTACCATCTATCATACGACCTATTCCAAAACCCCAACGGTAGACTCGAAGGGCTTGGTAGCAAAGCTCCTTAACAACTAGCAGGCATAGTGCAGGAATGACTTACAGTATATTAACATAATCCAGACTAAAAAGACAAGAAGCAGGCAAGGCACAAGCAACAGGACTACTCACAGCAATTGGCAATACCCCAGAACGAAGACATAAGAACTACAACTACAACTTGGCCCTCCTGCCCTGCTTCCCGACTCTAGCTCCCGCCCACTCCATAAACACCCCAACCACGCCCTCGATCTGCTCCTTGGTATTATCCGCATGCACCGTGAGCCGGACCCGTCCCAGCCCCTTTGGCACAATCGGATAATGCACTGAGTCGACCCAATACCCATTCCCCCGGATATGGTCCGCGAGCTCATTCTCCTCGCCACCTGGGGTGACCAAGGCAAATATAGGTGTCTCAAAAGGACCCGATCCCCAGTCCTCCGATCCGGGAATTTGAATTACACCCTGCTTGCTGACTTCGGCCCATTGCTTGTGCTTAGTCACCATGCGCTCGAAGTAGCGCGTGTTCTCTTGTAATCGACATCGTCGCTACAGTCCTTAGTACATACAACGGCAATGGGGCAAGGAGAAGACTCACCCGCTCGCCCTCCTCGCTTGCAGCCAACTCGTAGCCCGCGCGCACAGCCGCGACGGTGACGAACGATGGCGCCGTCGAAAACACGATATTGCGCGCATAGTTGATCATGGACATGCGCATGGTCTCCGAGCAAAGGACAACGGCTACCACGGACCAGTCAGTGGAACTCTCCAAGTGATCAAATCAAAAGGCAACTTACCCCCCGTCGACCCCATCCCCTTGCCGCAAGTATGCACCCGGATCCCAATCTCCTTCTCCAATCCGTAATGACACACCAGGCCAGATCCATCCCGTCCGATCAACCCGTTCGAGTGCGCCTCATCCATGGCATACACCACATTGCCCTGCGGGAGCACCTCCCGGGAAATGCGCAGCATCTCCTGGATGGGAACCACATCGCCGTCCATGCTGTAGAACGACTCGACCGCCACAAAGATCACGCTCTTGCCGTCCCTGGATCCCTTCTGGTTATCGCGGAGGTCCTCGAGAACACGCCGGAATTCTTTCAGGTCGTTGTGCGCGAACGACCGAGTCTGTGCGCGACCGCGCTGCATCCCGTCGTGGATGCTGGCATGGATGTACTCGTCATGCATGACCACGTCATCCGGACGCGGAACGATCGACCACAGGGCGACGTTGGCGTCGAAACCGGAATTAAAGAACAGGCTCGCCTCCGCCTTGTGGAAGCTGGCCAGGTCTCGCTCGATGTCGTTCAGATAGTGTGTTGTGCCCTCGAAGATGCGGGTCGAGGTGCTGCCCACAATGAAGTTGGGGTGTGCGTCCAGTTGCTCCCGGAAGCCCTGGGTCAGCGCCCGCGAGGTCGCAATGGATAAGGTGTCGTTGGACCCGAAGTCGACGAGTTGATTAACCATCCCGGGGCTGGGGGGTTGCATGAGGCGCTTTTGGCGCTCACGTTGCTCCAACTGAGTTTGGAGCTTGCAATTGAGGACCTTCTCGCCGGACATGTTTGATGGTATTCGAGCTAGAAATAATGTTTCCACTGTTCACAGTAAACGATTCTGCGTTTGTCGTTTCACAGCCCCCCAAGAGATTGAGCAGGTTTATGTAGTTCTGCCGCCAGTGGAGGACCCTACCCCTCGCCTACTTCAACCTGGACGATCTTTGACATCAATGACAACCTGATTTCCTGCCTGGTAAGCACACTCCCATTCACGAGTGATTGAAGTCATCCAAACTTTGCGACCAGAACAGCAGTAGACCCCGGTGGCGAGGATCGGCGGGAAGTCCGTCAGCATAAGGTTGACAGATAGCCAAGAAGCTGCAGAGCTTGGGAAACCCACGAATCACATCTAAACATGTTCAAGATCTCATTTCTTCAAAGTTCTTCACAGCTTGGACATTGTGTCAATTGTGAAATGACATCAGTCTACTCGAGACTGTCTGTGCCACACCCCCTTACTGATTGTAAGGAGCCGTTACCACCTTCCCTGTTTGTGTGCCGGTGCAGAGTGTGGTTCGAAAGGACCAATCTGAGTCATGTGAGCGATTTCTTGCTCCACCCTTCTCTGCAAGAATAATCGAGGAAGGGGTGGTCGTTCATCGGATACTGGCCCCGCGGGGGCTTCTCAGCAGGTCACCTGCGGTGTAGCGTCATAACCATCTGAAGCGACCGCTATTTGCGGTAAAACAACGATGAGTCCCAACAGGCTGGTTTGACATCCCATTGATAGTCTCGTCGGTGCAATCAGCCATCCAGTCAAGACATGCCCTGCAGTAGGAAAAGCAGGTTGTCAGATGTCAATGTCTACAGTCTGCTTTAGAGTTCATGCTCACGAACATTTCAGGCATTGTGTGACGTCTCCTATTTTCAAGTGTGGCCCTCCAGGCTTCAATTTCTGAAAATCTGAAGAACCAGACACCGAAATAGCAGGTTGACCGTAGGGTCACATACGTCATGATATGGAAGCGTGCTGTGTTGAAACGAAGAGAATTGTGGAGAGTAAATTCTGGTATGAGGGTAATGACCAGGCTTGAGGATATAAAGCCGTGTCAAGGGCGCCCGGAGCGAGAAAAGCAGCACAATCATCGACGAAGAACCCTGCGAAGATATTAGCATTTGCGCAAGATTATAGCAACCAGAAACAATCAGTGAGCATACATTAACTACAATATCACTAGACCTCAAGCCACGAGCAAATTCATCATGGAGAGAATAATTTACGACCACGCCCAAGAGAATCCGGATGCTGTCGCCGTCGAAGACGAACAAATGTCCCTGACCTACGCCGAGCTTCTCGGAGAAGCAGGTCATCTGGCGTACGAGCTAGGAGACCTTGACATTGACGAGCCTGTGGGTATCGTGCTAGGCCCTGGTATCGACCAGGTTGTTGCCCAGCTGGCGGTGCGCTTGGCTGGTGGAACCTGTGTCCCACTTGAGCCATCAATCCCAGAAAAGCGCATCAAGGACCTTTTGGCAGAAATCGAGGTCAAGACTATCTTGATTGACGAGGACTCCTCGCTGGCTTGGCCACACCGAAAGCTCATCCAGATTCCGAAAGTGACCGGCGGAAAGACGCTCGATGAGAAGCTTCCCAAAGGGTTCAAGGACCCGTCCAAACGCAGCCACATTCTCTTCACGTCTGGATCGACTGGAAAACCCAAACCGGTTCAGATCCTCGCCGACGCCATCCTGCATCTTGCCAACAAAACACCAACCACCCCCTTGCTAAAGAGTGACCGTGTTGCGGAATTCAACAACCCGGGATTTGACCTGAGCTTGTATGAAATCTGGGTAACCTTGATCTCAGGTGCTACTGTGGTCGCTATCCCGCGAGACTCGGCCATCAGCGCGGATGCATTGGCTGAGATGGTCTCAAAACACCGGCTGACTGTGATGATCATCACGACTGCCCTATTTACTATCACTAGTACTCAAGACCCAACAGCATTTTCGACTCTGCGACATGTCATTACCGCAGGGGATGTGGCAAATGTACGAGCCATGAGAGATGTGCTGCAGAAAGGCGCTCCTGAGCATCTTTGGAATGCCTATGGGCCAACCGAGTGTGCGACTCTGGCTACTATGCAGGAAATCACACTTGAAGAAACCGGCAGAGACCGCATTGGCATCGGTAAGGCAGTGGGGGACTTGGAGCTCGTCTTACTTGACGAAGATCAACAGCCCGTGCATGAGAGCGGCAAGCAAGGAGAGATCCACCTTGGCGGACCACAATTGACGCCCGGATACTTGAACCGTGAAGAGCATAACGAAGAGCGGTTTGTGGATTTGAGCAGAGAGGATTTGGGCCTTGGCGAAGGCACGGTGCGTCTGTACAAAACTGGAGACTTGGCTGAGTGGCGCGACCATAGCGATTGCCTGGATTTCATTGGCCGGGCCGACTCCCAGGTCAAGCATGAAGGCTTTCGGGTTGAGCTTGGCGAGATTGAGCGAGCGCTCATGTCTCACGATGCGGTTCACTCGGCAGTTCTTATTCATCAGCCACCTTTGACAGAGGAAGAAGGCCATGTCTTGGTTGCCTTTGTGTCGGCTAAAGATCTGGACGAGGAATCGCTCATGGACTACGCTCGAGAGCACCTTCCCCATTACATGGTTCCCAACGCTATTGAGTTCTTGAGCGATTTTCCACTGACGCCTAATGGCAAAGTGGACCGTAAGACTTTGACCCAGCAGCGTCTAGATGCCTTGCAGGAGAAGAAAAAGGAGGCTAAGACCGACAGCACAGCCCCAAACGGTGAAGTGCCATATGACAAAGCAGGAAAACTTCGGAGTCTCTGGACAAACCTGTTACATCTTTCCGAAGAGGTATCTGATGATGACGACTTCTTCTCTCTGGGCGCCAGCTCACTGCAGGCTGCCTCGTTGATTAGCCAGATGCGCCAGGCATTTGACGTTCAGGTTTCGATGCACGATCTCCACGGCCACTCTCAATTCAACCAGATGCGGGATTTGATCCAGCCTAGCGAGCCTCGACAAAACAAGGCACCTGACGATACGCGGGTATGGAAGCAAGATGTCCTTCTTGTTGACGACATTGACATGGTGCCTCGATGGGAGGCCGAGGGCGAGGGTCATGTGTTCATCACCGGTGTGACCGGGTTTGTGGGTGCGCACCTTCTGTCTAACTTGATGCAGCGACCAGGAGTGAAGCAGATTGCATGCCTCGCGCGTAGCAGGAAAGACGTTAGTGCCTGGGCTCGGGTTCAGCAGGCTCTTGAGCGATACGATGTCTGGCCTGACAAGCTTGAATTTACGCAAAAGATCATCGTACTTGAAGGCGACCTCACTGATTGGCATCTTGGCCTCGGACAGGACAAGTTCACGTGGCTTTCAAACTGGGCATCAGTGGTCTTCCACCTTGGAGCCAAGGTCAACTTTTGCGAGTCATACCGAGAGCACCGCACGACAAACGTCGTTGGCACAAGGAACATTCTTCACCTCGCTGCCGCAGGTCGACGTAAGAGCTTTCATTACGTATCTAGTATTGATGTCTGGGGGCCGACAGGGAACATCCTGGGAACAGAAGAGATCTACGAGGACGATCCCCTTCAGCCACACATTCAGGGCCTTCGGTATGACCTGGGTTATGCGCAGAGCCAGTGGACAGCAGAGGCGATGGTGCGCCGGATGAGGGACCGTGGCTTGCCGGTGGCCATCTACCGGCCAGGTTTTGTTGTTGGTCACAGCCAGACAGGAGCCATGAACCCTGATGATTTCGTGGCCCGCCTATTGATAGGTTCCATCAAAGTCGGTGCCTTTCCCCGAGTGGCCGATCAACGTCTGGAGTACGTGACAATCGACTACGTGGTTGACGCAATGATGGCTATTGCGACCCGCAATGAGAATTTGGGTCGCTCGTACAGTCTGCTGTCACCGGATGTCAGCAAATCTGTCACGGTCGAACAAACCTGCGACGTGCTCAAGGAGGCAGGCTATCCCCTCGAACTCCTCGATTTTGAACAGTGGGTTGAGAGGGTGACCCACAGCGATGCAGACGGATTATTGACGCCGTTAATGCCATTGTTCCAGGAGCGAGTGTTAGGGCAGTTAACGCGATGGGAAGCTAGCCAGTACAGTCCGGTTTATCGATGCGACAATGCACTTAAGGCTCTCAGTGACAAGCCAGAGATCAAGTTTCGACCATTTGACGCGCACCTGTTGAAGAGGTTTATTTCTTTCTGGGACCGGAAGGGGTTTCATCATGTTTGAAGCGATTGGTCTTGACGCATGACATTTAATTGAGGCGATGTTTTTGTTGGATTAATGTTAAAGTTCATATAGCTGTCAGCTTGAAATTCAAATGAATAGAACCAAAGGTCCCATCTTGTCTCTTCGGTAAACGAACTGCTTGATTGTGATTCGGTGGAATAAACTTGATCCGGATAAAGGGTTGGGAATGTTGCGCTGTCCAGCAGCGTACACCGTCTTTTCAAGCCCCTAATACGCAACGGTGTGAGAGGGATGGCATAAGACACGGATTCGTGGACTGGTGTAGTTCGATATTGGAAATTGACTCAAATCAGCTGTCTTCTCAAAGACATAGGCGACCAATGCCTTTAGCCATAAAGCTGGATGAGCTAAAATGCAGCCAATCATCGAGTCTCTGTAGGGACGGCGTGGCTATCGCCGAGAGGCCCAGACTTCAAGCTCATGCAACATGCCAAGCCCATCTTCGTCACACTAGCTGGAGGTTGGGTGGGGTCGCAAGCGCCTGCTCAATTGAGGTGGCACTTATACTTCAAACTCAGACATGCGCCCAACCGTTGGCAACCAGAACTTGCATTTCATTGATCAAGCAAAAGTCACCGCTTTCTTGCTGCTGAGGATGATCCTTTTCCCACTTCCTAAGACGATTGCGAACGACTTGCATCTTAAAATAGGAAGAGGTCGTCCAGCGTCGAATCCGATTCTCCCAAAGAGCCACGGCAAGATTTTGCGAGGACAGCCACGCCCGGGTCGGATGCACCGTAGCATACGCTTCTGGATTATACCCGACGCGGACCTGGGGATTCAGGTAAACTCCGTGGAGTTGTGACAAAGGGTTGTCCGCGTGGATCAGGCAGCACTCTGAGCCTTCAAGGTGGGATAGCGAAAGGGAGTCAGGAACCGCACGGAATCGCAGTAGCGGAAAGGACACGAAAGGCGCCGCGGGCATCACCACTAAAAGAGTCAGTCTGATACAGCACCAGGCACAGACGAATTATCACCTACCCATCCCATTCCAGCAGCTTCTGACGGGAACTGGCTCCATGTTGATGAGGGCTCTGCGCGAGCTGGCAGAGCGGAAGTATGGCCAAGTCTGCATGACGTGTTCATCGCCTTGAGAGTCACGTAGGGCAAAAGTGTCGTAGTATAGAGGAGGTTTGGAGAAATCCAGGGAGCAAGCAGCCCCATAGACCCCGTTATTGGTATCTAGCAGGGTCGCTACATCGTCGACCTAGAAACCTCACCCATTAGTCACACATTCGCTGGGTTCTGCAAGTATTAAAGTCGATCATACCGTGAACACGACATCATTCAGGAAGAGAACTTTATCGAAAGTAATCCCCTCTCGGGCTAAGTCTTCCAATGGTTGCAAGGTCCAATTGCGTAGCCGAGCCAGGTATGGAATGCGTCGAAGCTCTGTCTGTCCCTGCGGGGTCTTGATCCAACCATCACGCCCGGGCGGAGCGGAGATTTCATCCTGATGTGTTGTGTCGGACAGAGTGATGTTGCGTCGCACACCAAGTCGATCTAGTCTTGTATCCAGCTCGCGCAGAGCTCCCTTGCTGTCATCCCAGCTACCACTTTCCAACACGCTCACAAAGACGTTCTCGGAGCCAAGGGTCTTGACCAGGTCAACGACGGCATCGTTCCAATGGCTTCGGAGGATACGCTCGTTGTTCCAATGAGTGCTGGCGATGAAAATACGGTCGGAGGGTAGCGGAGGAGGAGGGCGGGCATCCACGAGGGCGATATGGTGGTGAATCGAGAGGACCTGGAGCATTGTCCAGATCACTAAGCCGAGGCCCACGAGGAGGGCGACGCGTCGGCGGAACCCATATCGGCGGCGGGGAACCCAGCGGGGACCGGCCTTGGAAGAGGCAAACGGGGAAATCATGGGGACATTCTTTCTTCGCGAGAAGACAGTCAAGAGACGATCAAGTGGTGACAGTAAAAGAAAGCGTCATTGAGGTTTCACTTGCGTTTGATTCATCGGTCTGTTAGACCGACCCGGCCTTGACGCGGGACGGCAGGAGCGAACGGGATCAAAAATAGAAGCCAGGGGGGAATCCGCCTTCCGCGCTAATCCTATTTTTGACATGTCGATAATTGCGACCGGGGCCTTCTGCAGCCTGGTCAATCAGGCAACAACACTATTAACACAATCTCGAAGTACACATCTGCCAGAGAAGCGGTCTCGCTGTGTAAATATGACAACTGTCAATTACACTGCTCTCTATCAGAAATTGCCCAGTACATCTCAGCCTCTTCGTTATGTCGGTCTGTAAAGTTATATTCCTACTACTATATCTTCCGCAACGCCCTATACTACTGGATTGTCAGATATGTTTCCGAGAGGATTGATCGGCATTTGATCAAGGTAAACTGGGCTGAATGATCAGACGCCAAACAAAAGAGGTGTATAACCAAGAGGCTCCCCATGTACTCCGTACAATCAGGAAACTTCCAGAATATGGTTGAGAAGCTTTTTAATCACAATACCCTCAAACAGGCGAGTCGCGCATGGCGCACTATTGATCGAGCAGCCGATGAATGATGCCATTAACATTAAGATGTCTACGTGCTCACTTATTAATCACTATCTACAAGAAATGCCTCATAGACCGCGGCAGCACCCCTGTAAGGCTCGTATAGAAGCTGACTGCAATTTGTAAAGGCCATCGATGAGGGCCAATCAAATCTGTTGTACCCGGAAGCCGAGGAACCCGATCACTAATCTTTCTCAGATCTTGTCTACTAGTATACAAAGGAACTTGCCTGGCCATTTATCAGCGACGGAGGTATAGCCGTGGTATATCAGGCTCATAGACCGGCAGTAGGTATTACTTGGGTTACCAACATCAATTCAATTCAATTTAACTCAGATTCTTGCCTCGTCTTAGAAAATGTCTCTTGTTCTCATTACCGGTTCGACCGGCTTCATCGGCTCCCAGGTGGTCTGGGATGTACTTAAAGCTGGCTATCGCGTGCGGCTGGTCGTCCGTCGTGCTGAGCAGGCGACCAAGCTCGAGCGGATTTATGATCGCTATGCAGAGAAATTGGATTTTGCTGTCATTTCCGACTTGACAATTGATGGATGCTTCGACGAGCCACTACAGGGAGTGGATTATGCTTTGCACCTGGCCTCTCCATTACCCGGTGCCGGGGATGATCTCTTAAGCCCTGCCGTCCGAGGAACTATTTCAATCCTGTATTCCGCGCTCAAGGTGCCAAGCATCAAGAAAGTTGTCGTGACTGCCTCGGCATTGTCAATTATTCCGTTGGGGCCAACTAGAGATGGGTTGGTCGTGAAAGGTATGGTTCTCGTCCTATGAGGTATCGAGCACCAGTCCCATTAACGCGTTTGGTGGTAGAAACGACGGATGTTGAAGATGTCGACGCAGCCCAGGTTGCTTCGTTGAACCCGATGGAACAGTATCATGCCAGCAAGGTCGCGTCTTACAAAGCAACGCTGGATTTTGTGCGTGATCAACATCCAAAATTTGATGTGGTTACTCTGCATCCGGTCTTTGTCTTCGGCCACAATCACGCACAGGAATCAGCGGATCAGCTTGGGGGCACTTGTGGCATGCTGTACCAGGCAATCACAACTGGGAAGCTATTTGCGGCTCAGTACCGGGGTGTTCATGTTCATGACGTTTCTGCAGCACATGTAAAAGTTTTGGACAGCTCTATACAGGGACTGCAGTCATATCTTTTGGCCGCACCGCCCAGATCGTGGGCAGATGTCGAGGCTTTTGTCCGTCAACATTATCCGAGTCTACCCATCGGTATCCAGGCCACTGAAGGACCAAGCTATGTGCTCGACACGTCAAAGGCTGAGAGAAACTTGGGATTGACATGGAAGGGAATGGAAGAACAAGTCAGAGATGTGATTGACCAGCAACTGGCTTTCAAATGAGCATCTGCGTTGGTACTTGTTTGGCGAGGATGAAGTATGCCAGTGAGAGAAACGTGCTCTGAGTTGTGGGTCTTTAATGTTTAGCATTGTATTTTTTGTTCCTGAGCTCGCAGCGGTTCTGACGTGCAAATCGATCGTCAAATTTGAGTATAGGTGTAACCCATAAGTTTTGAATATGTTGCGCCAGTCACAATATTGAGTGCAGTGCGGGGTAACCTACCAATTATTTAGCCAGATTACTCAGCTAAAATACAGTACATTCCTTGCAAGATAACAAGAGGTTTCTAGTATCAGAGCACCACGGCTCTAGGACTTCCTAGAAAACCCACTTCGCATATGGTGAAAGTCAGCAACGGACAAATCCAAAATTGAGAGATTACATGGTGCTAACTGACGTGAAGAAGATTGGTTTGACGCGACCCCACTAAATGTCACCATCGGCCATTTCCCGACTGCTCTTTCTCCACAACCACTCAAACTAGCCCTTTTGATTCAAGCTTCTCCTCTTCTGCACTCATCTAATATTCGCTTGGCACCTTAATCTAATCCATTTGTTAGCAACATGCATCCAGCCGGGGTTGCTCTATTCGTCCAATGCGCATTCTTGGGATGCCCACGGGATTGCCGATCCCCTGCATCAAAAAGGCAGGGATCTCCAGGGACAACGGCCGGAGTCTCTACTTTCCATTCTCGTGGTCTTCAGCAATTCTCCCATTGGTGTCAGGGCCGTCTATCAACGAGGTTGACACTCTCCACCCAGCCGGCTTTTGTCTGCCCTGCGCGATGAAGATGGGTATGATAGTCCGTCGCAAGATGCAGGTGCAATGAAGGCTTCTCCATCCATGCATTCCAGGCAGGCACGTGGGGGCATCATGAAGGGACAGCGGCAATTCCTGACGGGTCGCCTTGAAGGATAAATAGCAAGATACATCCCTTTCATGCTGGCATTGTTGTCACTATCACCATCATACATCGAATATCATGCATTCTAGTGCCCTTGTCGGCCTTCTGGCATTTGCGGCCGCTGCCTCGGCTTTGCCCGGGGCTTCGTCACGGCACGCCCACTCGCACTCATTCATCAGCAACCTCAAAGACAAGGTCAAGAATGTCGTGGTGTTGGTCATGGAGAACCGCTCCGTCGACAACCTTCTTGGTGGACAGACGATCAAGGGCCTCGAGAACCCCATCAACAACGGTCCCTTCTGCAACCCTTACAACGTGAGCAACCCAGCTGAGGGCACTGTTTGCAGCGCGGCATGGGACTACGACTCGGTTACCGACGATCCTGATCACGCGGTGTACGGCAATAATATCGAGTTCTACGGCACGTTCACGCCGGACAATGAGGCGATCGCATCAGGCGCATTGACTCCTAGCCAACAGGGCTTTGTGCACGAGCAACTGCGGGTATACGGTGCCAAAGCCAACCGCACCCAGCTATCCACCCAAGTCATGAACTATTACACCGAGGACCAGGTGCCGGTTCTCACCCAGTTGGTGCAGAACTATGTTGTTTTCAACCACTGGCACTCCGATATCCCAGGTGTAAGTCTTCCAATGCAGCAGATGCAATGCAGCAATGCTAACCCATGGACAGCCCACCGATCCCAACCGGGCGGCTTTGACGTCGGGAACCTCATATGGCCACGGCAGCAATGACGATGCTTTCACCGTACACGCCTTCCCTCAACGGTCCATTTTCCAGCAATTGAGCGAGACAAATCACACCTGGATCAACTACTACGATATCGCGGGCGGTACGGGTCCAGATGCCGAGTTCTACGACTGGACCTACACTGCCAACCGCACCAACCAGGTCCAGCCCTTAGAGCAGTTTTACACGGATGCGGCGGCGGGTGAGCTTGCCGACTTCACCTATCTCAATCCATCCTGCTGCGGAGTGGGCACCAACTCGATGCACCCCAGCGGACTCATCTCGGATGGCGAGAAGCTGATCAAGCAGGTCTACGAGGCTCTGCGCAATGGTCCACAGTGGTCCAACACGCTGTTCATCCTTAGTTTCGATGAGACCGGTGGCTTTCACGACCATGTGCCTCCTCCTCTGGCTCCTGCGCCAGACAACTTGACCTACACGGCGACCACCCCCAGTGGCGAAAAATACACCTTCCCCTTTAACCGCCTGGGCGGCCGTATCCCGACCTTGCTGATCTCCCCGTGGGTGGGCAAGGGATACGTCGAGCAGAAGGGCACAGATGTTGACGGTGAGACGGTGTCGTACTCTGCTTCGTCAATCCTGCGCACTCTCGGCTATCTCTGGGACTTCGAGCCCTTCACCCCTCGTGTCGAGTATGCACCTTCCTTCGATCATCTGATCCAGGGGCGGGCGCGCAACGACACGCCTGCCACCTTGCCCGAGCCGGTGCCTTTCCGCAAGTGATTAGACTGCGTACAGGGGGGATTACGACGAACCATGACTGCATGATTGAGAATTGCTCATCGATAGAGACATCAAAATAAACCATTACACTCTTCCAACCACGAAATGATTTATAGCCTTCCGTAAGCTCATCCTATTAAAACCACATCCAACCCAAGAAAACCGGATCCTGGCACTAAAGCGCTGCCTTCCCGCCTGTCTTCCCCTCTCCATCCTCAGCAAAAGCCCCATCGTACTCCACCGCCCGGTTCTCCCGCACCCAAACCTTCTCCCCCTCACTCCGGTACGGCGGCGGAATCATCCCATTGATCTTCCACAGCCGCCGCTCCGTCTCCTCCACGTGGTACTCCACATCAAACCCTTTATCCAGCACATGCTCCCTGAAGATCTTATCAAGCCAGTTGGTCGTGCGACGATACGCGGCGTCGCTATCCGGCTGCACGACCGCGATGTGCGTGACGACCGCCCGTACAAAGGGCCGTTCGGCTTTGGTAGCCTCCCGGCCACCCACGTAGACATCCTCCGGGTTGAGTTCGTGGAATTGGATGACCACGTAAAAGGCGGGGAGGCCGATGGAGGTGTATCTTTTTGTGATGTCAGTCGCGAAGCTTGATTTTGCTTCTGGGGTGAAAGTCCCGGGAGGAGAGTAGATTTGCCAGAGGGGCATTTTGGGATTCGGGATTTGGTTGGGGTTTCGAGGTGGGTAATCTAGTTCGATTGGGTTTGCTCGAGAGACTTTACTGGAGTCTAGATGGGTATAGTTGAGGTAGTGAGATAATTTGGTCGAAGGATGGAATCTGGCTGGGGGATCGATAAACTGCTGACTGCTATGTGAAATAGGGTCTTTTATCTCATGGTTGTGCTGATCGCTGACTGCACCCCAGTCAATTGTTGATGTTCGAGCGCATATGTAAGATTAGTGATCTACACCGATCAGGGCCATTGATGGTGTGGTGATTGGCGCGGAGTTAGTGATCAGTGAACCAGTCCGTCGGGGCCCCCCCGTCTCCACGGGATGATTAGTGAACTAACGATGTAAGTCGCGGTAGCACAAATCAAGTTGGCTCATACACCACGAAGATGGTGGTATTTAACACCACTCGTCGCTGGCACGCTTGATTGACCGACTCATCATCAAGCATCATTCTTTTACTATCCAAATGACCGCCCCTCTAGTCTTCATCACCGGCGCAACCGGCTTCATCGGCTCCCAGGTCGTCCTCGCGACCCTGCGGGCGGGATACCGGGTGCGCCTGTCCATCCGCCACGCCTCCCAGGAGGCCCCACTGCGCGCCCGCTACCCCGACTTCAGTCCCCAGCAGATCGAAATCTACATCATCCCCGACATCACCCCGCGCGACGCCTTCATGCCCGCCCTCGATGGCGTTGACCACATCTTCCACCTGGCCTCGCCTATGCCCGGCCGCGGGTCCGATCTCCAAGCCGACTACATCGACCCGGCCGTCAAGGGCACCGAGTCGATTCTGTACTCCGCGTTAGCGTTCCCGAAGATCCAGAAGGTGGTGGTGATGTCCTCTGTGCTGGCGTTGACCCCCCTGGATGCCCTCCGCGAGACGGAGGTTTACGTGACGGGTACGTCCATTCCATCAGCCTCCCATTTCCTTTCCTCCCTCAATTCTTGAGAAAGCGAAAGCTAACAAAAGCAGACAACACCCACGAAACCATCCCAATAGATCTCCCCGACCCGATCCCAGAAGGCTTTTCAGGCCACGGCCTGAAATACAGCGCCTCAAAGGTGGCCGCGCACGACGCCACCCGCAGCTTCCTGGCCACCCAACACCCGACATTCACGCTGATCACGTTCCACCCGACCTTCGTGCTAGGCGAGAGCCTCATCCAGACGACCCCGGAGGAGATTGGGGGCATGAACGCGTTCTTCTGGAACACGCTGCAGGCCGAGAAGCCCGGGATGGCGAACGCGTGGGTCGACGTGCGGGACGTGGCGGAGGCGCACGTGCGGGCGCTGCAGCGGGAGGTGGGCCCGGGCACGGAGGTGCTGCTGTCGGCGCCGACGCCGGGGTCGTGGGACCGGGTGGCCGAGCTGGTACGCCGGAAGTATCCCGGGGTTGGGTGCCGGTTGCAGGGGCCGTTTGAGAAGGGGTGGACGGTGGATACGCGGACGGCGGAGCGGGTGCTGGGGATGGAATGGCGAGGTCAGGATGAGATTGTGGAGGCGGTGTTGGGGCAGCAGTTGGCGTTGAGGGGGGGAGCTTCCGCTGCTTTGTAAGGGGTTGTGGGTTTGGGATGGAGGTTTGGTGTTTGAACTGGTGTATACTATAATGATATGTGCTGCTTGTATTGTAATCCACGGGCAGAAACTGCCGTTACAAATCATGAAATTGTCTCACAGGAAGTGTGATGAGGTAGGAATCTATGATTGAATGCTATTGTTGTGTAAACCAAATTTCTCGTAATTCTTGGTCCTAGACTTGCGGCCCCCTCCCCACCCCCCCTCCTCCCCCGAATTCGCTTCTCCCAGTATGCATTTCATTTAAGATTGCTAAATCAGACGGAGTCTTTCTCCATCATTAGCTTTACGGACTGCAGATCTGCCGGTGAATCTCTCACCTTAGTGCTAGCTTCGTCTGTCTGATGAGGATAGTGGAACCTCTTGTCCGTGGTTATAGTTGGATGTCGTTTCGCGCTCAGACTTGACTAGTCGTGGGCCTGCGCGTGCCGATTCTTGTTTGCGGTCACTGGAACGCTTCTTGAGGATGAAAGGAAGTAGGAGGCACATGATGTAAAAGGGTAGGTAGGACGATGGATGCCGTTATAGTTCAGACCGGGGTGGAGTATATGATGATAGCGGAATTCAGAGTAGTGGAGATGCTTGTCTAAAGAGGATTGCTGTCTGTTCAGGAGGAATACGATGTTGTTCTGTTGATGGACTATTTGTGTCGCTGTGACTTTCTGCTCAGAGCCTTATATATCCCAATATTCAGCCTACAGACCATTCATATAGCACAGCCATTACTCCTATATTGTTGTTCCCTGACTGAATACCGAATGAAGTAATCAAGGCGATACCGAAGGGGGCGGCACTCTGATTGGCCGGATGACGCCAGTACAGCGAAGCGCCCGTGTTGTCAGCCTCATCGCGACAACAGTGGGTCTGTGCTGACACCCAAGCCGTGGCAGCTGAAGCTTAGTTCAGTCCCGAGAAGCAGATTGATTGTTTCAGCCTGGAGGCCGACCATCCCGTCTGTTGGGGCGCAGCGCTCGCGCCCTTCTGCAGTCAGCTCGCCGCTTGCCCAATCCGGCAACCCACTCGGTGGACGGACGCGATCTGCGACCACGTGGAGTGAAATCTCGGGTTATGCGTACAGAGCGATATCTCTCAAGGGACTATTTCAGAAGAAATTGAAGGGCAGTTTGGGGCAAAGATTTCACTGTTAGGGCTGTAGTGTGCCTGCTTATCGCGATGGTGTGCCCTACCCTGCAGCGAGCCTTGCTGACAGTGTCAAGGTTCCGTCTGTCACTTCCAAATGAGCGTATACAGTAGTAAAGTACACTCGCGAAGCGCTCCCAAACAGCCTCGCCATTCTAGGAGAGCTTGTTCTAGGGTGCTAAACAGTGATCTATCAGATGCTCGATCTCTCGCTGAAGTAACTGGTTTGAAAGGGCTTTTATGGAAGTGTCACATGACTTGAGCTTTTCTTTTCTAAGAGAGGGGAGAGTCTTGAAGACCTGTAGATTCAGGCTGTAAGTCTCGAGGAATACACAAGAACTTGCTTTTGAAGGTGTATATTGAATTACTCAAAGGCGCTTCAAAGGTGCTTGAAAGGCCATCTGAAAAGCACACGAAATTCGTCACAAGGTACATAAGTAGTTTGCTGACAGAATGCATGGAAAAGATGTAAGTTGAAGCCCTGGACCCGCTAGGACGCTTCAAGGACGATTTTGACCAGAGGGAATCACCTGCTAGACAAATCCGCTGAGTGAAAACATGAATCAATCAGGTCGAATGAATCTCAATACATGCAAGTCTATAAACTAATATGGTACATGATCGACAGAAAATAAATCACACGCATGTAGCAGACCAGCAAGCGAATCGGAGACATATGTCACACTATCTCCGGCCACGAAGTCGTTGCACGATCAACCTTTCCTGACGTTCCTTGTCTGCACGCCCACAAGCACCATCGAGAAAACTGTAAAGGCTTCCGGCAAAAACACCAAAACCACCCGCACTGCCAAACTTCCAGTGCTGGAGCTGAGGTCTTTCCGCTGCGTGCACACCGCGACCAACTGGTAAATAGCCCGGATGCCCACAAAGAATAATGCCAGAAAAGACCCCTGAAGAAGCTGATAGCCACCATTCATATTAGTAAAGAATTCACCTAAGCGAGACGGGAGACTCACCGTAGTACCAGCATGAAACGAGAAGGCATCCTTCCGTCGCTGCGATGGCAGGAGCTGGATACATGCCCAGATCACCTCCAAACCCCAAACCAACACCATTAATCCGGTGCCTGTCTTCCAGTGGTCCAGACTGTCCGCCTTGGGATGACCTTCATAGATGTTCAAGGCACCCACAATTGCAAGCGCAAGAGCCGTGGCCATCAATCCTGTGGCTACGATGACTACCGCCCAGCCGACCCATTGTGATCCGGGGTTGCGGTAAGCTCGGCTGTTACGGAGGACTGTGAGCTCATGACCCTATCTGCAGATGAGGAGAGAAATGCTTACGCTTCATGGAGAAGACCATCAATTGCTAGAATGAGAGGCGAGATGCCCACGCCCACAATGATGTTCGCAGCAAGGCTCTGGCTATCATGTACTCCCATCGCTCCTCCCACGACACGAGCAATGCAGAAGACACTTAGATAGTACCATGCCAGAAGTCCGCCCGAGCGGCGCGTCCAGACAATGTAGAAAACCAAGGGAAGGAGCACCAGGTAAAGGACAAGATCGGCTGCAAAGATGGCGTTCATGGTGCCTGACGATGAGATTGACTCGTGTAGAAAAAGCCGTCGATGACTGTCTGACTCAAAACTTGGGTTGCAGCGAATTTTGTCCAGAGCTGTTATTCAAGTTCGACGGCCAGCTGCTTTTATCATCCCCAGGAACTACCAACTCTAGGCCACCCACGCGAGTAACCGCCTCTTTCATCCATGATTACCCGCAACTGCCATCTCGGGCATACATCGCGGGGGCCCAGCTGCATTCAGTGGCTTGAGCATGGGGAAGCATACTACCAGTACACCATGCTGCAACTGTTTTGCTGGCCATAAAGCTTGATTAGCCACAATTTGATCCACCAGCAAAGTGTGAATCGCAGCCACTGTCATCTCAGGACCTCCATAGATGTGATTGGTCAGATTTAGCCCATGAAAATGACCAGCGTTCGGTGGTTGAAGGGTAGATGGAAACCAGCTCGATGGCTGCCTGCCCGAGTCGGCGAGGCCGGCCAGTGTAGAAATGTACGTACAATTAAGTCAGTTGTTCACAAAGCTGAGTGCAACCTTACACCTCAGTGGAAGGGCGTGCCTACTTGTAATCCAAGAAAAGCTTAGCGTGCGTCGTGTCCCGCCGTCAGCACTAGTCTCAATCCGGTAACCACTTCGATATTCCCCAATCTGGAAGGAGCACTTACTGCCCCGCGGCGGGGAGCGCGGTGATCACATCGACTCTTTTTCTCTCGAACCTCCCATCTCCTTGCTCTCTTTTTGTCAGCCATTCTCCATCTTCATTCACTTGCATCGGATATAAGACTTGCCAAGTCTCTTCAGAGGTTATCGTGTTGATTGCTCTCTTAGGAAACCACTTCGGTCCTGTCATGGTCTACCGCGGGAAACCCAGTGCAGCCTGTTCTTGGTGCCGGGCCCGCCGGCTCAAGGTATACTTATCAGAACTACCTTCTCTATACGCGCTAAAAGATCTGTAGTGCGACCAGAAACGGCCCTCGTGTTCCTCATGTCTGCGAGCCAAGCGGATCTGCACCGGATACCGCGATGTAGCCGCTCTTAGTTTCCATGATCAGACTGCCGAAGTGGTCGAGAAGGCCAATCGTCGTCCGCAACCGCAATCAGAATACACCAGCGTATCACCTTGGGTAGATGCGTCGGAGATCGCATCGTCATCCTCCGACGAAAATGCCTATAACCTTTTCGCCCTGCAGCCTATGTCTACACCAATAATTGACCAAGGGATTACTTATGTCCTGACCTATCATGTCGGGTCGGCTCGTCGCTCGGTTTCTGGGCACCTGTCGTTTCTACCCTCCTTACTACAACAGGAGCCGAGTCCCGCTGTCATGGCGTCCGTCAATGCGATGGGGCTGGCAGCACTAGGCAACATTCACGGGAATCCTCACCTTACCCGTGCGGCACGTCAACAGTATACTATCGCACTATCAGAGACAAATACTGCTCTGCAAGATACCATCACTGCCAAGTCTGATGCCACACTCGCTGCGGTTCTCGTCTTGGGTTTGTACGAGGTGCGCTGCCCACGCTTATATCGAGTCCGTATTACTGCTTGCTGATCCCAATGATCTCAGATCATAACCTGCCAGAGCCATTCGCTGATGGTGCGCTGGGCAGATCACATCGAAGGTGCGATGGCCCTCATCAAGCTACGCGGGTCGGAGCAGCTACGAAGCCCGGTCGGACTCGCCCTATTCACACAGTTACGCGGCCAATACGTGAGTCTATATGCCCCGTCAGCCACCGCTTGTGCTTCTGACTATTAACCGACCGCGCAGACTTTAAGTAATTTGTACCGAAAGAAATCCACTCCTGCATGGCTGATGGCCTTGTCGGAGGAGACAGTCGGCATGCGGGGACCACAGCAGTGCCCCATGGAATCATTCTTCAGGTATCTGGCCAAGGTCAGCGAGCTGTGCGCACAAGTGGGTCGGAGAGCCAAGACTCCTCATGAAACTATACAAGAGGCACTGCAATTGGATGCTATGCTGGCTGCGTGGGCCTTGACCGTCGGTCAAGGCTGGCAATACTCAGTGCTTGACGCCGCAGCCACCAGTAAGAACAAGCCTTCTGAGCAGCATATTTACGGCGATTACTACCACGAGTACCCTGAGATCGGCATTGCTGTCATGTGGAACACGTACAGATTGACGCGGATCGTTATCCACGAAGTGATCGCTGCTGTCTGCGAGCGATTATGGAGGCGATCGAGAGGCAACAACAATGAACTCTGGGCGACCATTCGTCAGAGCGCTGCAGTCACCCGTCAGCTAGCGGAGGAAGTATGCGCCGGTGTCCCTTACTTCTTCGGGTCGACTCACTCTGACAAATCGCTGATTGATGCATCGGGGCTGATCCGTTCACACTGGACGCTGTTTGTTGCATCCGACTGTGTTGGAAGCACGCCCCGCATGAAAGCCTGGATTACGAGTCGCTTGAATGAGATTGGTAGACGCATAGGAGTGCAACAGGCACTGTCTATGACAAATTACTTGCATGGAGACGTGTCTCTCAACTGGCTGAAGCAAGAACTGCAGGCTATCGATAATTTGCACGGGGATAGCCAAGGCGACGTTCCATCTGAACCCAGACTGCTCGTGAATGTGAGAGGCATGAAAAAGCACCAATCAAAGATGAACCAGTAAACAGTGGAGTATTGGACGATTTGTTCAAATTTGGCGTCGGCGGTCTCGCCTTCGACGTGACCTGTACCTGCAGTGCTGATCCGAGTAGAGATTATTATCGATGTTTGTCGTTATCACTGCGCTTGAGCTGTGGATGACTACTTCAGGTCATTGATAAGGTCGGCTGGGCTTCTGGTTGGAGGAGACCAGCCGTGCGGGGAAATCGGCCATCATCCCCGCTCCTACTTAAGGTCGAATCTTCCCGCCACTTCATCCCCACGCATCATAAGAATGGAGAAGTACTATCGAAATGATCAAAGTCTGGAGGAGGACCAGTTGAAGCCGCTACATCGTCAACGATGGCTGCGGGTAGTAATGGGTCTCATTCTTCTTGGAATGGGCATCTATTCCCTCTTCCGGGTACGATTTCAAGTACTTCCCAAGTACTCGTTCTGATCGATAAATAGAACTTTAGTGGTACGATGCGAATCCAACCAGCTTCGCGCCCCACCTCACTGGATAACTTCGAGAAATGCTCGATTGACAATTTCCGTGGAACGGGATACCCCTTCCTTGACACGGCTATTCCATTGACGGTGGAAGACTTCGAAGATCGCCGCGACCGCTTGGCGCTGGCCCTCGTGGCCGACAGTGTGGATGCTTTTGTGGTTGAGCCAGGATACACATTCAAATACTACGCCAACATCAGCCAGCCCGAATGGGAAGTCTGGGAGGTGTGTGCCATGATCTGAATGCTGCCATGTGTTTGCGGTCCGCTAAAACCTTAAAGCCCGAAGAGCGCCCTTTCCTGCTCGTGGTGCAACCTGAGCGTCTCCCCTCTGGTAAAGTCAAATCCAAGTCGTCGTTCCTCTGCCCCTCGTTCGAAGCGGAGCGGGCACGACTCCTCGGGATGCCGTTCACTGAGGAGATTGATATCATCCCGTGGGAAGAGCACTGGGATCCGTATGAGACTCTCAAAACCGCTGAAACATTCTCGCGCCTTCGCCGCACACCGCGTCTCATGGTCGATGAAGAGATGCGGGATTTCATTCAGCGTGGGCTCGGTCGGGCCGGGTTCCACGTGGTTGGTCTTCAGGGCGAGGTGGAGCGAGTGCGACAGATCAAATCAGAGAAGGAGATTGGAGTCCTGAGGGCAGTGAATACAGGGACAGTGGAGGCGGTCCGGCAAATGAGAAAGTGTGAGTAGAAGAGTGGATTCAAGTTTGCCACAAAATTCGAAAATGCTAACTCGACACAGGCCTGTCTCCTGGGTTGACCGAAAGCGAGATCGCACGTGTATTGGATAAGACTCTCCTCTCCGCTGGATTGGAACCTTTTTTTGACATTGTGTTATTTGGTATGGAATCAAGAGCATCCATATAAACATGGACTTAGGCTGACAGCTGGAATAGATGAGAATGCTGCAAATCCTCATGGTGGAACCAATGGGTCGAAGGTGCTGGAAGCGGAGACATTTGTCTTGATAGATGTTGGGTTCGTATTCAGCCCAGCGATGCGGGGATTTGGTCTAACGGTCGCAGGGCCCATCTGATGGGTTATTCTTCTGACATCTGTCGCACATTCTTTCCTCCATTCCTAGAACGACCGGCATCTAATGCTGCTGTACCCGATTGGATGAGAGAGAAACTTGATGTACATTCCCTTCACTCTTCCTTACTCTTTCGCTTGCATGGCACTAACCGTAACAGGTCTGGGACATCGTCTTCGAAGCGCAAACTAAGTCCATCGACCGATTTATCGTCGATGCCACAGCAGCTAGTGTGGATATTGCCGCTCGTACTGTCATCAGTGCAGCTGGATATGGCGATGCGTTTACGCACCGTGTCGGACACGGGATTGGCATTAAGGGTAGGTTCAACTTCCCCGCATACAGTGTGGAGGGACTAACATCCACAGCGCATGAGAGCCCTTACCTCAACAAGGGCAACCATGAGACCGTCCTTCGAGCGGGGATGACTTTCACCTCCGAGCCGGGTGTGTACCTGGTAGACAAGTTTGGCGTCCGCCACGAGGACATCTTCCTAGTGCGGGAGAATGATACAGCGGAATTGTTGACAGGACAGCGAGCCATCGGCCCATGGGACCCCTGAGATGATCGACAGGACAGTTAACGGGCCCCGGCGGGTGTGCGATGCTGTTGTTGGTCAATTTGCGTGGTGATGGGGCTAATGTATTGCTTTTGCCACCGAAATGGTGAAGGGGGTGCTCGGGTTGCTGCAGTGGATTCTTGGCTCGCTTCCTTCTGCTGAGTAGGGATAGACCATCGGGAGGCCTGAAGTTAGTTGAGCAAGTTGCCACGGATGGATGTTTCGTGGGGATATGGCAGTAGAAGAGACAGAGGGCGACCGGTGAGCTACCTAGGTATGCAACATATGTTCAACGGTCGGCAATTGAGATTTCACTCCACATTGCCAATCTGCTGTGTGACTAGGCTGGCTCATTTTTGCGGGTGGTCGGTGCCTCGCGAAGCAGGCGTGCGCATGTCGGCCCAAAATACGGCTAACCGCTTCTGTGGAACAGTGCTTACATAAGGCTTGGCGCACCCAAAGTTCAAACCGTCCAAAGGTTGACGAGGAGCAGCAGCAGCAGAATGGAGCGACTAGAGTCTTGATTCTCCACCAAAAGTGGCGGAGTAGAGGTATAGGACCAGACAGTAAGACAGCAACTAACTTCAATCAGAGTACTGATCAGAAGTCAGTTCTGTGAAATAAAGCTCAGGGCTATACTTTGCCAAGCATCGCTTGACTCTTGTGCTGCACCTCCGTTGATTTCTGGTGGCCACTTGTTTGTTGCCCAGGCAAGTCCAAAAATGGGCTGTCAAACAGACAGACAAGACAGCCCCAGCGCAGCTGAGGGTCCGAATGCGGAGGGAGATCGGGGCCTGCAGAATGGAATGTGACTGGACAGGCATGGATCGGCGCCGATCGGTCGGCAAAAGCAAGCTAAAAGATTAGGCCGGCCCTGGCAGGGTTAGGTTCCTTTGCCCCGGATTTTTGTCAAACGCACCCCACAATTTTAGGGAGAGAGTGTGTGTTGCAGACACGTCTTCTCGGAGCTGGCGGGCTGGCCGGTCCATGGATCGTAGGCTGGTCACCTGAGCGGAGAGTCCCTCCCGGTGAATTTCTGCTTCTTCACCTCCGCACGTTGGCTTCTCTCGTCGACTCACCTGCTTTCCTTATTACTTGCCCTACTACCATGCTGCTGAAGTGACTGCAGCGACTACACTTCCTTGAGAATGGACAGTCGCAAACAGAAGAGGTTCGAGCTCCGCGTCTCTGCCTGACCCTCCCCCCCCCCAACCCATGGCCAACGACTCCGCGCCCATCCAGGGCATCGCCGGCCACTACACCGGCGACAGCTTAGCTCTCCAAGCGACACTGGCGACCCTGCTCGGCTGCGCCCTGTACAGCGCTCTCGAGCTCATCCTGCTCATCTTCGTGACCTTCCACCACTACGTGGGGCTCTACTTCTGGAGTCTCCTCATCTCGACCAGCCTGGGCATCATCCCGCAGTCGCTGGGCCTCCTCCTGAAATACTTCAAGCTGGCGCCGATCTACCTGTCCGTCACGCTGACAACCTTCGGCTGGGCGATCATGGTGACAGGGCAGTCGGTGGTACTATACTCGCGGCTGCACTTGGTGCTGCGCAACGCGGTGGTGCTGCGCAGCGTGCTGACGATGATCGTCGTGGACGCGGTCATCATCCAGATCCCGCACATCGTGTTCTCCTACGGCGTGATCGCCGACAACGCCGGGAGCCGCTATATGCGCATCTACACCATCTGGGAGAAGCTGCAGATGACCGTCTTCTTCACCCAGGAGGTCATCATCTCCGCCATCTTTCTCGTCCAGACCGTCCGCCTGCTCACCCTCTACCCCAACCGCAGCAAGCGCCGCTCCCTCATCATGTATCAGCTGCTGGGCATCAACGCCGCCATCATTCTTATGGACATCTCCCTGCTCGTCCTCGAGTACCTCAATATCTACATTATTCAGGTCTCGCTCAAGACTTTCTTCTATACTATCAAGTTCAAGCTGGAGTTCGCCGTGCTGTCGCGGTTGGTCTCGTTTGTGAACTATGAGCCCGAGCAGGACTCGGCGATGACGGCGCTGAGTTAGGGTGTCGGGAGATTTTCATCGATTCAGGTAATCGATGAAGATGGACTTAAAAGTATATTAACTGGTAATCGGGGATTCACGCGTTAGAGCTGTGAGAGTCTTATGGTTGGGCTCGGGGCGGGTAACGTGTTCGGTATGAGCATGATTGCCGGCCGTCTGCACTTTTCGTGTACTGTATCTCTAATCAGCACTGACCTCGTGTCAATGACTGCGCAAAGCGCCACTTGTCGACATGTCAAGCGGCGCTCGATGGTGACATGCATGCTCGATTTACCACCCACTCGCATCATCCAAGGTCACTGCCTCGAGATCAAGACCGCAAATCCAAAACTCAATGGGTGGGCGTCCTCTATCAGACTACAAGACACCCTTCACGGCTGGCTACCAGCTGTTACGATAGCTCAAGGTCGCGAGTCGACTATCACAACCAGATGTCGAGCACCCACAGAATCAGATTTCGAGCCCCGTGCATCAAGGGTTGGATCCGCTAAGACGAATTAATGCCGTTGGGGTGTGGAAACTCCTGTACACGGAAGAAACCCCGTCGCCACCGGTGTCTGAGGCAACACGATCCACCCAGAGAGGGTCGGGTATCTCCCAGCTAGTCGCCTTACAGGCCGTGAAAGCAATGCTAAGAATTCCTTGTCCGGAGCGGAACCTGGGATTATGTAAATCATAAACCATGTACTGTACATGCTTGAGCCTGGCTCAAATTACAACAAGAGAAATGATAGATTCCCTGATAATCCATACTCCATACTTACCTGTGGAGAGGGCGAGGTAGCCGACCTCGACGCCCGTGCATGAGGTCGGGCCATATATAATAGTCGCTGTCAGGGTCTGTTGAGCACGATTTATACCGCTCTTTGCTTCCTTTCTCTCGTTTCCCACGTAGCATCAACACTATCAGCACATTGGCTCGTTCGTAACCAAGGGTTGTGACCAGTTATGGGGTCATTGTCGCCGTTTACTCCATCAGACGCTGAATGACAGCAAGCACTGGCACAGGAGTATTTCCTTACCGCGGGCCATTTGTCACTCTCAGGCCTGCCGCCAGAAGCCGAGACCAAAGGAGCTTCGGGTTCAGTGCAAGGTCTTTTAACTCTTCGTTGACTTATACATGGAGAAGTAGAATCTCTCAAAACGGACTTCCTCGGCTACCTCGAGTTTAATAACCATGGGCACTCAAAGACTCCCACAAAATGGACGGGACGCCCACTTCCGTGTCGTGACTCGGACTTCTACAGATCAGATAGCTGCGATGGCAATGCTTAAGGGAGACGGTGTCGTTTTCCCAGACATCATATGAAATGGGATGGACACGCTCGTCGTCAGCGTGTAAATTACACGGGACTTGTGCTAGAGCTCGATATTTGAAACATCGTTAGAACAAGCTCACATTGCATGCACGAGAAGCTCTTTACCTGTTTCTAGTGTACTGTACATTGAGTGTACCTCGGGAAGCTCCCCCACCTACAAGGAAGAGCCTCCGGATGAGTTCTTCATAACAACCGAGTGTCACGACAAACCTGAAGGATCCAAAAGAGACAGCAGAATTACACCACCCGCACTAACAAGCAAACATCTTCGTGGTGCTAACATTAATCCGACTCCACTCTTTCCGCTTAACCAGAGATTCCAAGAACCGACTCGGCCAATACACATGATACAGCACAAAGAATGGCACCGGATCCCACGCCGTATAGGTCCCGTCCCGCCAATGCACCAGATGCTGCCACAGCGTCTCGAGCCCACTCTTCACCTCTTCCACACCCCCCTCTCCAGACATAAGTGTGAGGGCTGGGATGAGCAGCAGAGTAACAAAATCATGCCCGAGCCAGTAATAGCTGTGCGCGGGCTGCGCAGGCACCACCAGCGGTTTACGCATGGTAAGCTCCAACTCAAAGCATGACAGGTACGCCTCCGCCATGGCTGGCGTGTTCTGGAAGAGAACCACCGCCGTGTGCGCGCGCGGGTTACATTCGATCGGGTAGAGTCTTGCATCCTGCCCTTCGCCCTCGACCAGAAAGTCAAAGCTCAGATGTCCCGTGAACTCCTCGCCGCCGTCCTCGGCGACGCGCTTGGTGAAGTCGAGCATCTTCGTGCTCAGGGGCGCGTCCGCGGGGAGTGGGGCGTAGTGCATCAGTAGGTCGGAGGAGGGGCAGGAGACGAAGGCCTTGACCTCCCCGCGGACGATGAGGGAGTGCGTGCAGTACTCCGGGCCGGTAATGTATTGTTGGAGGATGTAGGGGTTGGACGGGGAGATGTTCAGCGTCGACAGGTAGGAGGCGGTGGCCTTGGGTCCCGCGGACAAAGGGAGCAGCGTCATCATCTGGGCTCGGGCCTTGTCGTCGACCCCGATCGGTTTCAGGATGAATCGCTTGCTCCCTCCTTCGGATTTCTCAATACCGTTCCGCGAGGCGGACTTGGTGAGAATATCCTCGACTTGCGCGGCAGATGTACAGCGATGAGACTCTGGGACTAGCAGTCCGATGCTCTGAATGTACTCGATGAAGGCGTCCTTCTCGTGCAGCTTCTTTACCACATCACTGTCGAACTGCACCGCGTGGAATCGTTTCCCTCTTTCCTTCTGCGCCGATCGCATCGCTTCGCCATCCTCGATCGCGCCGACGACGCTGCTGCAGCTGATCCATAGGTGCACGTCCTCTCTTCTTATGAGATCCAGCAGCGAGTCAACGTATGGCTTCGTGTTCGTGCCTTGTGGGGAGCTGAGACGATAGAACTGAGCGATCGCGCTAGAATAGCGGCCTGGCGATGTGAACGGGATGGGTTCCGTGTCAGCGGCGATGATGCGATGGGGGGTGTGCTTTGCGAGAAGACGGGCGATTGTGAGGCCCTTGGTCATGGAAATCCCCGTCACGAGGATGGTTTTGCGACACGAGGTCGCGTGTAATTGTGGCCGTGTTGCTTCATCTTTAGAGACGTAGATGTAGAGAAAAGAGGCAAGAGTGACAGTTGCAGAAATCGGGAGGCAGAGAACACTAAGGAGGATGAGGAGGATGTTCTTCAGCTCGTGGCGGTGAAAAATAGCCATAGTGGGAAGGTGGCCGGACTGGTTGGCCGCGTGCGGAAGAAGCCTCGATGCGAGGGTAGCGGAAGGAGTTTCTTCATATACCTTCTGCTACTACCTGGAAGACACCCAAACACACTTATCAGACTTTGCTACGGAGCATACGCATAACGTCATCGTGACTCTAATGATTCGATGGCTTTCCGATGGCCGCGACCGGTGTAACACGAGGTATTTAGGAACTCTACGGATAATATATCCGGAAGACACAGAACACACAGTGAACATCACCTTCATTCCTGCTGCAGTACGTGAACTATTGCTTCTCCTCGCCTACGCATCGTGTAATCTCAACGCCGTCCTATACGACATCAGTGCATGTTTCTCAAATTGAGTAGAAGGTGGTCTTACCGGCACGCCAGTGGGCTCAAAACTGTGCACCAACTGGCTCTCATATACTAGATTCGGATTGCCAGGGCTTTGGTTGAATTTCATCTCCCCATATCTCTTCTGATATTGATTCACAGTCTTTCCTGGGAGGCTCTCGCTCTTCACCGCCGCTCCCAATTTCCGCCTCTTCTCCTCCACACGGTCCCGGACGTACTCCAGATACGGTGGATTTCCAGGCTTGATGACATTGTCCGCAGCCAGGACAGAGCCCGGGGTGATCAGCTGCAGCTCCTCGCATAGCTTCAAGTCCGTCGTGTACGCCGGCTTGTAATGATCCAGGAACATCAGATCGATATGCTTGAGCAGACCCTGGGCGTGCAGGCGCGCAATGGATGCATCGCTCGAGCCAACAACCACCTTGACCACATCCGAGAGACCAGCCAGATCCACCAGTGACATGATCACCGCCGCAAACTCCGGGTTCATCTCCAGACTGTAGTACCGTTGGCCCCCGGCTTTTCGCACTGCGTCGCCGAAGAGCACGCAGGAGTAGCCAACATAGCCACCGAGTTCCACCTGCGCAAGAATCAGTACAACTCGGTCCTCGCTGCCAGTCAGGCCAATCGACATACCATGACTTCCGGCTTGACCTCTGCGATGAGATCGCAAACAATCCGCCCCTTATCCTCTCCCACATTCATGAGGTACTTCTTCGTGCGCCCATACTCGTCGATCGCCTGGAGCACCTTCTCCGGGGAGCCGCGGATGTTTTCCAGGTCGGGGTGCGAGTACACAAAATGGAGGAGCTCGATCTCGCGCCCGTCGTCGAAGAACCCCGTCCCCTCCTCCTGCGGTGCGTATGCTTTAGCCTGGTCGAATTTGGTCATTTTCGCGGTGTCTTGCTCAGCCTTGATGGTACCCGGTGATCGTGCGCCTATATGGGAAATCTCTCCACCACATCGGGATCAAAGCCGTCGATGGTGTTGTAATCATCGGGATAAATTTAGAGTGCTGTACACGTTGCACCAGGGAAAAATCGCTAAGCCAGCCGGATGGGGGCAGGGTCTCATTCGCAAAACAGGGAAAACCAGGGAACCTCGAGTCATGGGCGTTTCCCCGGGCAGACTGCAAGGGGTAAAAGCCGGGCATTCCAGGCCCTCCTCCTCTGGCAGGGTCCTGGCCGGGGCGGGGGGAGAGAGGGGAGGGGAGGTGGTAGAAAGCAGGGCGGAGGGGGGGGGATCGGCGTGGGCCCTGATCAATCAATCAACACTCCCGATCGTAGTTACCAAGTCTTGACGTGGGGGAAATGGCATTGACTCTCTTGTCGTCAATGACTCCCGGAAATTCACAAGCTTATCAAGGTTAGATCTACGGATCCCCCTGGTGGTGTAACCTTATCGCTGCAGAAGCGGACGCTAAGGCCGGAAGCGGCGTCTTCTCTGGCGGCAATTGGTTTAGCGGGCCCGCTTTTCAGTGACTATGTCATGCATACCTACGAGACTCCAAGCTTGAGTTTCTCCGAACAGTCCCATCCTCCGAGTGAACCCGATCGATCGATGGTTCCTCATTGGATTTGGTGTCTGATGGAGGTTGGTACGCTCGGTTGACGTGATCGTGGTCAGGTCGCAGGCGTAGGAGCCAGTTTGAGGACAACGTGTTCCATCCAGCGAACTGAGTGGCAGGTGAACAATCGTTATATATCCCGAAACCTCCGTGTCAATTTGTGGAAATTCATCAACTTCTTGCTCAACTCCTTTTTCTCGGTTGTGCTTCATTCAACACTGCTGCAACCATGTCCGACCTCAAGGCTACGGTCTCCGAGACCAAGAACGGCTTCCACGTCGAGGGCTACGAGAAGATCGAGTACGATTTCACCTTCCTTGATGGCGTGTTCGATCCCCAGAATGCTCAGTTGGCTGGCCTCTATGAGCGCTGGGGCCGTTGCTTGGCCATCATGGACAAGAACATCTACGATCTTTACGGCGAGCAGATGCAGAAGTACTTTGACCACCACGGTCTGGAGCTGAAGATCCATCAGACCATGATTGGCGAGAAGGCCAAGTCATTGGAGACTTTTACTGAGATCGTGGACTCGATGACCGGGTTCGGGATCATCCGAAAGGAGCCCGTACTGGTTGTGGTATGGCTGATCCAATATGCTGGACAGGATAACGCAGTTACTAATCTACGGTCAATAGGGCGGCGGATTAGTTACCGATGTTGCCGGGTAAGAACCACCACCAACTTCCAAACATAGCCTAAGGGCTAACCCGTACCCCAGGTTCGCCTGTGCCGCCTACCGCCGCAACACAAACTACATCCGCATCCCCACTACGGTGATCGGCCTCATCGACGCCAGCGTCAGCATCAAGGTGGCCGTCAACTACGGCAACTACAAGAACCGGCTGGGTGCCTACCACGCGCCGATGCACACCTTCCTGGACTTCGGGTTCCTGCGCACGCTGCCCGAGGCGCAGGTGCGCAACGGGTTCGCGGAGCTGATCAAGATTTCGAGCTGCGCGCACCTGCGCACGTTCGACCTGCTGGACGAGTTCTGCGAGCGGCTGATCGCGACCAAGTTCGGGCGGTCGCAGGACGAGACGGGCGAGGTGCGTAAGGCGGCGGACGAGATCAACCGCAACGGCATCTTCGAGATGCTGAAGCTCGAGTCGCCCAACCTGCATGAGATCGGGCTGGACCGGGTCATCGCGTACGGACACACCTGGTCGCCGTTACACGAGGTGAGCCTTCCTCATTGTGTTCTGAGAGGGTTGTCCATTGTCTGTTTCTTGTTTGCTGATATTTACATACTTGCAGCTGGCACCTCCCGTCCCCCTTCGCCACGGCCACGCCATCTCGATCGACATGGCGTACTCGGCCACGCTGGCCAACATCCGGGGTCTGCTCAGCGACGCCGAGCACCGGCGACTGCTGAACCTGTTCTCCCGCGCGGGCTTGTCCATGGACCACGAGCTCTTCAACGAGGAGATCCTCGACAAAGCGACGCAGGCGATCCTGAAGACGCGTGATGGCTTGCTGCGCGCCGCCGTGCCCTGCCCGCTGGGCAGCTGCAAGTTCCTGAACGACGTCACCAACGAGGAGATGTTCGCGGCGCTGCGCCGGCACAAAGAGCTGATGAAGGAGTACCCGCGGCAGGGGGCGGGGATCGAGGCCTACGTCGACGCCAGCGACACGGGCTACACGATCAACAACCAGCCGGTGGACCCGCAGATCCACGCGCAGCAGAAGATGGTCGACGGCGGGGAGAAGAAGACCAACGGCGTGGCCGAGGGCAAGAAGCTCAACGGCGTGGTCGACGAGAAGAAGAACGTGTTCAGCGACGGCGTGATGAACGGGTTCCGTCAGATCGCGGCCAATGGATACCCCAATGGGCTGCGCAATTAGAGGCGTTTAGATAGAGGGCGGGAGTTTTGGAAGCAGGCTGTTCGTGCATGATAAACATAAACCATCGTAAGGGAATGAGTTATTGCTTAATGAAATGAATTATATAGGTCACACACGATAAATACCTAATACATCACATTTTGTTCACTTATATTCTCAACGTTTTATTCAGACGATCAGGGTGTGCGTAGTTGAGCCATTGGTAGCAGCCTTTCGAGTCTTCTCGAGATCGAGATCAAGCCGTCAACAGCATAGTTATTGCCAGTTGAAACGTGCAGCACAAACGCACAGCTGATACCCACAACCCAGAACCCAAGCACACGCACCTCACTCAACCCCCCCCCCCCCCTCCCCTCTTCCACAGCTTACTTATAAGCCTGAATCGCACTCGCAAACGCCGCCGCAATCTGATCCAACACCAGCGGCGCCAACGCGGCATACGTCGCCGACAACTTCTCCTGCACAGCCTTGCCCAACTGGCTCGACAAGAAGCTCAACTGCTCGAGATCCCACTCCACCAAAAAGCTCAGCGAGGCCACGCCCAGCAGCCCGTCATCGAACTCGGATTTCTTGGCGACCAGGTTGGCGAGAGTGGAGGCGATGGTCGGCTCAAGCGCGACGAACGCTTGCGCCACGCTGAGACTCTCGGGGTCCGAGAAATTGGCCGAGCGCTTGGCGGCCACGATCGCGACCTTCAGGTCGACTTCTAGCTGGATCGTCTCGGCTTGGATCTGCAGGGCGCTGAGCGAGCCCTCGATGCCGCCGGGGTAGGCGCTCACCGTGGTGTTCAGGGTGGTGAGTTGCGTTGTGATGGTGGTGACGGCGGCGAGGACGGAGGAGGCGTCGCGTTTGGTGAGACCCGCAGGGTCGGCGGGGGTTGCACTGGCCCAGAGAGGGGATAGGAGGAGGGTGAGGAGGAGGATGGGAAGGGTGAGGTTGAGCATTTTGATGGTGCTGGCTTCTTACACGGTGGTTGCACTTGAGGTGGGAAGAGCGGAAGACGTGAAGCGTGAAGCGTACTTCACACGCACGAGCAGGGTTGTCGGGGTCCTTATATCTAGGGCCCTGTTCTGAATGGTGTCATCGTCTAGCTCGTCTATTCTACCCCTCTTTTATTAGCAGACAGGGATCGCTTAATGGACTAGACCGTCCCCATCCACTGGCAGTGCCTCAGCTCGAGCAGGAAACACCCGCTCGGACATACATCGCCACTTCACCCGAGCATCATCTCATGCCGAACCCTCGTCCGTCATCTTCTCGAACGGGTACCTTTCCCGTCATTGCCCATTGCCGATCCCATGGACCCCGCGCAGGGACCCTGATGATTGGCATCGTGGATTGCCTGATTCGGACGAGTTGATATGTGACAGACGTGATAAGATTCCCACCCCGCATATTGGCCGGGTGGATATAGATTAAAGGCTTGTGCCTGCTTACTTGTGCCTCGGGAAAGCCCTAATGGGGTTGGTGGTTTTGGTGAATGTGCCAGAGGGCGATCGCATCATTGGGTTAAAGCATGTGCTTCCGAGGTACAACATGACACCTCGTGAAACTTCAAGCAGTATATATCTGCAGGCTGGTTCCGTGCATCAACACTGAGCAGATTGCTCTGTCATTTGTGAAATCTGTGTTCCTTTTTTTCCTTTTGGCATGATTCCATGAACGTAAGCTGATATACATCCGTAATTCGGCGCAAATTGGGGCCTTGGCCCGCCGATGCTGGTCAAGCTAGGACCATTCACAGCCAATATGTCTACGGGGTCCCATTAACGAAGGATGCAATGAGCATTACAACTTTGTGTTTTGGAAAGCGGACTGCATTCCTCACAGACAAACGAAACCTAGTTCGGTTTTCTGTTTTGTCTAGCTGCAACCCCGGATTCTTAAATTCAGCTGTCCTCACTGAAACAGACACTCTGAAAAACTGCCCCAGTACACTAGTTTCCCCTTCCAAGCATCAGTGGGTATGCCACCTAGCTAGTGCAGCGGCAGCCCTACTGCTCCAAGGGGAACCCATAGCCGACCAAGAACGCCGGCTCATCAATGCTATGATGCTGGTAGCTGCACCCGACCGACAGACAGTCAGCCAACATCCCAACCACACGACCTCACAATCACATACCTAAGCACCCCAACCGCACCAGGCTCCAACATCATGGACAAAGGAAACTCCATGGGATAGCCCAACCAGCGCTTGGTGAACGCGCGCAGCGTATGCCCATGGGCAATGAGCACCACATCAGCCGGCTGCTCGCCATGCATATTCCCACGGTGAAGCTCACGGATCTCCGCGATCAGACTATCGATTCTAGCCGTAACATCCTCGGGCGACCTGCATCGCGTTAGCACCGCGCCCCTTTCCCAACTAACCCTGCCCAGAAAAGGCAAAGAGAATACGTACTCGCCACCCTCACACCCATCGCGCCAGATATCCCACTCCTGCTCCCCATCCAACCCATGCTCCTTCCGCAGGGCCCGGATCTCCTTCGTCAGCAACCCCTCATACAGCCCATACCCCCACTCGGCCAACCGCTCGTCGTTCTCCTGCACCTTCCCGGCGGCCCGCAGCGCCTGCTTGTCGGCCTCGGGAAAGGCCAGCTCGAAGGTGTGCATGGCCCGCCGCCGCGGGCTGACGAACACGCGCGCCAGCTTGCGGGCCGGGTCGAGCAGCTTGCCCGCGCCCACGAGGATCTGGCCCGACGCCGTGACTTGCTTGATCCCGTCGGCGGTCAGCTCGATCTCGCTGGTGCCGGTGTAGCGGCCGCTTTTGGACCATTCGGTTTCGCCTGGTTTCGTTAGTGTCTCGTGTCTTTGGGGGGGGAGGTATGGGAGGAGGAGGGGGATGAGACTACGCGGGGTGATGGTGATGGACAAGTAAACTTACCGTGGCGGTAGAGGAAGACCCGCGGGGTACCTGCGTCCTTGTCGGGCATCGTGTCTAGAGCGGAGAGGGGTCTAGTCTAGGGATTCTGGATCTAGGGTGTTGGATGTATGTGGTGGTGTAGCTGAGGTTGGGTTCCGATGTCAAACCTGGGTTGGCTTTCGGGCGGGCGAGATTGGTTGACGCCATTGTTGGGCCTGTGGGGGGAAAAGGGGTTTATGTAATCCATGCTCATGGATCTGACTGGAGTTCGAGGGCAAGTGGGGTTCACCGGTGTTTGTTTGTGTACTAGCTTACTCTGGGGAGCAGAGTGGGCAGAATGTCTGTGGGATTGATAGAGAGGTTGTATTTCAGGTAAAAAGTATAGATACTAGGCACGGTAGTATAACATCCAAATTTGGAATCTCTGCATTTGTTCATGCCAGAATCATGCAATGGAATTTTCCACAAGTGGGGGGGAAGGAGGGGGTAGTGCAAACCAAACAAACAAGGCAAAATAGCTTGACGACAGCCAATCAACCAGCACTTGTGGCATATATCACGTGATGGCATCGGAAATCATTGTATACTGTATATATCTTGTAGATAAATGAGAAACCGTCGAGACTATCTGCGGCTGAAAAGTCAGATATAGCAGTACTTCACCTTGAACAACTTTGGTTGAATGGAACTTTCGTGGTGATGTATTTCTATTGTCGGTCGGGTGTTCTCTATGCCCAGAAGCAGGAACTCACAGCCACGTGAAATCCAGCTCACATTAATCACGCACCGAAAACATATTGGGGAGGATCGAATTATTAATCTTACTTGAATCTCTGACTGAGGAGATGGTACCAGAAGGGGTACCAGTCCGCGGAGATCTAGTATAACAGCGAATGAAGCATTTTCCACGACAGGTGCCTTTGTCTGAGCAGAGCCCAGCTTGCATAGTCACGCATCCTGCTGTCCGCACCCATTATAAGCGTACGTAAGCCTTGGAGGATTTGATCCAGAAGCGTTGGATGTTTCTCTAGCGACATGCTCGCTATGGTTGTTGGGCTCTCACCTTGGAGACAGACCAACAAATCAGTTAGAATGTCATAGGCAAGTGGAGCGAGAAGGCCCAGCCATCCTGCCGCGGAACTCCTCACCTCGATTTGAGTTCCACACGCAGGCACCTGAGAAGTCTTTCGCGCAAGTGCTTCAGTCCTAGGAGCTTCATCAGGGTTCTCTTTCTCAGAGACGGGTCATTGTGCTCTAGAAGCAGTGCTATGTCATCCATTATTTCGTCCTCAAGGCCGGTTTGAGGGGCCAGGGCCCAGCCCGCCACAAACCTTGTATAGAGGTTTTTCGCCTTGAGAAGGCGGCCAATAGCTTGCCTGACATTGTCTGGAAGAACTACTTGACCCTACGACATGTCCCTTGCATACTCTGCTTTCTCCTTTTGAGTAGGTTCCTCACACTTTGCTTCTGCACTAAGCATGGGAATCAAAGTGTATAATGTTTTCTCTGGGAGACTTTGTTGACAGCACAATGAGTCGTATGCGGCACGCCGCACACGATTGTCGTTATCCGCAAGAAGATCTACCAGTCCTTGATAGACCCAGCACGGGAGCATAGTGTCCTGGACCTCCAAGGCTTTCGCTGCTCGGTATCTTACGAGCGTCAATTCACCCTTGAGGAACGTACCTAGGCAACGAATCGTGACCCGCGTTCATCCACCCACGCTGTAACTCGCCCTTCGGGTATGCATACAACCCAGCAATCCACGAGTGGCGTTTCAAAAATGTATAAGCGGACGCCAGAGACCTTCAGCCTGCGTGTTGCGCTATCATCTTCGATAAAAACCAATGCGTCTTCGCAGCAGGTAAATATCACATCCGAGGATGGCGCTAAGATAACGGGCTAGCCCCAACAAAGTGTAGCTTCATGAGGCAGTTCGTTGTTCGAGGCAAATCTGAGCGAGAATGACACCTTATCATGCCGTTTAACTGAGGTCCTGTACGCCATCAGTCATCGCAACGACTGCTGGCCTATCGGGTGTCGAGGAGGGAATTTTAAAGATGAGATGAATGCGGGGAGAGAACGTTCAATTAATTATCATCTTTTCGATTGGCTGTTTTACACCCGAAGCCTCCAAGCCACGCGTGGAGGATAGAATACCAGACTAGAAGATAAATTTGCTCATCGACGGACAAGGGCGCGTCCGATCCCCGGATTAGCCGACTCCTTTTCCGTATTCTGCGCTGTCACTGCAGTCCAGTCGTTGC